CAAGAGCACTTAACCACCTCTCCAGCCCTTTTTATTACTTTAAAAGATTTTTCAGTTGCTGAAGAACTTTCATTTTATTTACTTATTTATATGTGGTGCTGAGAATTCAATCTTACACATGCCAGGCAAGCACTCTACCACTGAGCCACAACCCCAGCACCCCACCTCCAGTCCTTATTAAAATATCTTATCTAGAGGCAGGGTCTCACTGAGTAGGTTAGGGATTCACTAAGTTACGGAGGCTGGCTTTGAACTCACAATACTCTAATTTCCCTGATTTCATAATTGGTTTTATGTTTTCTACAGATTTTTTTTGGGGGGGGGGTTGGCTTGTTTTCTGGTCCTGAGGATTGAACCCCAGGGGTGCCTAACCACTGAGGAACATCCCAGCATTTTTGTTGGTTTGTTTTTTGAGGCAGGATCTCACTAAGTAGTCTAGGGCCTTCCTAAATTGCTAAGGCTGGTCTTGAACTTGCAATCCTCCTGCCTCAGCTCCTGACTTGCAGGGATTATAGGCATGTGCCACCACAGCCCCCAGCAATAGAACATTTATATATTTACAGCATATCATCTGGAAGTGGAGATGGTTTCACATCTTTATTTTCAGTTTGAATGCTTCGTTATTCTACCTGTTGCTCTTAGAACTTTCAATGCTATGCTGAATGGATTTGGAGAAAGCAGTGCAACCCTACTGTGTTCTGTTAGAGGAAAAACTTTCAGTCTCCCACCATTTAGTCTGATGATAACTGGCAAGTTTTTCAATATCTAGCTTTTATTTATTTGTGATAATTCCTTCTATTCCTTTGTTGTTGTTGAGGCTTGTTTTACTCATGAAATACTGTTAAATTCTGTCAAGTGAATCTTCTGCACTGAGATCATGAAATTTTTATTTTTCATTCTGTTTATGTGGCATCTAAATACCACTTACCAGATATAAATCCACATGGTCTTTGAGTATATTCTTTTCAATATGCACCTGAATTTGGCTTTCTAGTATTTTTAATATATGGACATAATATCATTATTTTTGCTCATTTTTATGTGGTTCTGAGGATCAAACCTAGTGCCTCACATATGCCAGGCAAGCATGTTGCCACTGAGTCACAACCTCAACCCAGATTTTTCTAGTATTTTGTTGTGGATTTTTGCATCAGTATGCACAAAAGATATGGTTCTATAATTTTCTTTTAATGTCTACAGCTTTAGTATCAAAGTAACGCTGGACTCATAGAATGAACAAAGAAGAGCCTACCCATGTGATTTGGGGAGGAGTTTTGATAGTTATGGCATTAAATATTCCTTAAATGTTGGTAGAATTCACCAGAGGACATCTGGTCATGGATGGATTTTCTTTGGATTGTGAAGAGCTGGTTATAAGAGAGAGAAAGAAAGAATTTTTTAATATTTATTTTTTAGTTTTCAGTGGACACAACATCTTTATTTTTTATTTTTATGTGGTGCTGAGGATTCAACCCAGAGCCCTGTGCACATGCCAGGTGAGCGTGCTACCACTTGAGCCACATCCCCAGCCTGTTTGTTTTTTTAACTTTTTTAATTGTACACGGACACAGTATCTTTATTTTATTTATTTTTATATGGTGTTGAGTATCAAACCCAGTGCCTCACACTTGCCTGGCAATTGCCCTACGACTGAACTACAACTGCAGCCTATGAAGAGTTTTTAATTACAGATGCAATCTTTTATTAGTTACAGGTTGACTTAGATATCCTTTCTTCAAAATTTGATGTTGCCAGATTTTCTCCTAGGAATTTGCCTATTTCATCTAGGCTATGAAAACTCTTGTCTCAAAAAATAAAAAGGGTTGGGATGTGGCTTAGTGGTTAAGCACACTGGGTTCAATCCCCATTACCAAAAAGTGAAAAATAAAAATGTAGTTACTAGTTAGGCTCAGTGGCACACACCTGTAATACTAGTTACTCAAAAGGATCTGGCAGAGGATCACAAGTTGGAGGACAACCTCTGTCTTAGCTCTTAAAAGGGATGGGGTTAGGGGCTGGGATTGTGGTTCAGCGGTAGAACACTCACCTAGCACATGTGAGGCCCTGGGTTCGATCCTCAGCACCACATAAAAAAAGATACTGTGTCCAACTACAACTAAAAACATAAATATTTCAAAAAGTGGGATGGGGATATAGCTCAGTGGTAGAGTGCCACTGGGACTGCGTTCAACCCCTAGTATTTGGGGGGAAAGGGGGGAATAACATGATCAATATGGTATTCTATCTTTTGGTACTTTAACCTCATAAAATTATAACTTCCCATTCTTTGATTTCTGATTATACTTCTGACACATATTGCTTTCCAAAAGACATACTTTTACTGCCACCAGCAAAGACCATATAAATTTTAATCCTGCCCCAATAATGAATATATTTGATGAAATTACCAAACTCCAGCTTTCATAGTACTTATTCATAGGGAAAGAGCAAAAATATAGGGTAGGGAGCTTGACAAGTGTCCTTCCCATTTTTGCATAGTTATGACCTGACAAGTTTGATTAAAATAAATTCTACAGCAAACAGAAGACAATCTCATCAGAATACAGTCACTGCCTGGAAGTACAAAAAATTAATTATAAGTCGTGATCAACTCAGGATTAAGTAACTACATCACAATCTTTCAGACTGTTACTGTAAATCTCGTATTAACACTACTGAAAATTTTAATTATGAAATATGCTGTAGTATATTATTGCAGTTAACAAAACCATTTAGTCATTTGTTTTTGCTTTTGTTTAAAATCTTTCAGTCTTAGTATGAGAAAAATTCAAAAGATTCAGAATGGGGAGAGGCTAGGAGACAAGTGTAGTAAGATAATATTCAAATTAGTGCTCTGGATTGCAGTACTGTGTGCATTCTGCATTTTAATTCAAGTTTTTCCCCAAGTTATTTTTTTGCAGGTTTCATTTTCTTGATACTTCCGAATAAGACCCTTACTTCACTAGTTACAAGAAGGCTCCATTATGTGGTCCTCAGACCACTGGGACATGCTGAGCTATAGTCAAACTTTCCTTAATGAATGTTTCTCCTCGTAAATTTCCTTGGATGAAATTTTTAACCAGTATGGATTCTGTGATGAATTTTATTTTATTTTTTTTAAAGAGAGAGTGAGAGAGGAGAGAGAGAGATAGAGAATTTTTTAATATTTATTTTTTAGTTCTCGGCGGACACAACATCTTTGTTGGTATGTGGTGCTGAGGATCGAACCCGGGCCGCACGCATGCCAGGCGAGCACGCTACCGCTTGAGCCACATCCCCAGCCCCCTGTGATGAATTTTAAGGTACACATAACTGAGTGCTTATCACACATACCCCCACCTTTTTTTGAAGTTTTCTTTTTAGTTGTAGATGAACTTAATTTTTTTACTTTTATTTATTTTTATGTGGTGATGAGGATAGAACTTGGTGCCACACAAATACTAGGTGATCACTGAACTCACTGAACTACAAATCCAGCCCAGACATCCCCCATCTCTACGGTTTCTAATAGGACTAGTTGTGAAGACCAACTAAAGCCATGCATCACATGTCCAAGGTAATTTGGCAGGGAGGGGGTGCTCTGATGCAGTTGAAAACTGAGACTGTGAGACTGACTGAAAGAATTACAGCATTCTCCACATCTGCATGGGTTATCTCCTGTGTGGACCTTCAAACACAGGTCAAGATTTGAGCTCCAATGTAATCCTACCCAAAGTCCTTGATTTGTAAGCCATTTCTCCATTGTGCATTTTCACATATGAACTGTGTCCAAAGCTCTTCCAAAACTCTTTGCAAATGAAGGGTTCTACTCCACCGTGGTGTCTCTGATGGCTCAAGTGACTTGATGCTCAGCTGAAGCTATCCCCACTCCTCACACTTTCGTGGCTTTCCCCCAGTGTGGACTCTCCCATGGGTATAAAGTTGTGAATTCTGAGTAAAGCTCTTCCCACACTTTTCACACTTGAATGGTTTTTCTCAGCTGTGGAGTCTCTGATGTTTCAAAAGATCGGAGGCCCAGCCAAAGCTCTTCCCACATTCCTTACAAGTATATGATCTTTCTCCCGTGTGGACCCTCCTATGGGAATAAAGTTGTGAATTCTGATAAAATTCTTCCCACACTCCTCAATCTGTATGGCTTTTCTCCACTGTGCACCCTCTGATGGGAATGAAGTTCAATCATGGCCTCCCTCTGCTCAAATAGGCACCAGAATGAACGGGTCTGCAAGGACCCCAAACAAGAGCCAGAACACCGGCAGCTGGAACTCTCTAGCCTCAACCCAGGGCCTCCCGCCATTCAGCGGGAACTAAATGGTAACAAGAAAAGCCACGATTCACTAGATGCTCGTAACTGTTTTAAGTCTTTGCTCTGAAGGCCCTCTTGCAATTCCAAACCATGCGATTAGGATGGTACATTTAAAATAACGACAATGACCCTCCCTCCCCCCTCAATCGAGTAAGTCCCCAAAGTGGACCACCCGAGGAAGTGGCCGCACGGGAGCGGTGGAGAGGGGCTGATTAGGCGAGCCGAGAGCCCCGGAAACCCTCAAACCAGGTGGCAAACGCCCTGACCAGGTCACGAACCCGGGGACTCCACTACAGAGTCTCCAACGCGAGCAGGTTCCGCGGGGAAAACCGAAACTTCGTTCGTCACCGCTCCAAACCCCTGCTCTCCGCGGAGGCTTCCTTTCCCCTAAGCTGAAGGCAGGTCATTGAGGGTGCCGGTGGGGTGGGGGCCAGGAAATTCGGAAGAGCGCTCAAGACCCAAGAAACTGATTTCAATCACCATGAGAAACAAACAAACTACAACAGCAACTTCCGGCCCAGGGAGCGGAAGTGTCTGACTCAGCCTTCCGGAATAAACTTCCCAGAATTCCAGGCATCCGCCCTCCTAAGGAAAGATGCCCGCAACGCTACGGACCGCCTGGACTACACTTCCCAGAATTCCTGGGACTTTCCTCCCCCCCCCCGCCCCCGTCCCAGAGGAACTACGCGAGACTCCAAGTAACCAATGGACGTTTCCCAGAACGCTTCAGTGAGCGTTGCCTCTCCACGGAACGAGGTTGTGTGTCCATTCCTCGGCTCCTGTGTGGTGATGTGAGCTGAGGGCTGTAAATACCCTCCAGCCTGGCAGGGTTGTTGGGACGAATGAGATAGGCTCTTCAAGGAATTAACCAGGACTCAGTAAGCGACTGAAAAGGTATTTAATCTGACGTTATGAAGCTAAAGCCTGATTCGCAGAATAGGCGAGGTAGACCGGTATCCAAATGTGGTTTAAACATATTTTCTGTATTGTAAATGAAATAGAACACCTTTGTGTTTTCAAGGGTCATTATTAATTTTTGGTAAATTTTCCAAACCTTTTATATTAACCTCATCATTTAAATATTGTTTGTGTATTCATGTCTCATTTTTCTTGTTAATATTTTCTCCAGGAAAAGTTTATTTTTTCTTTTTGACTTTCTGGTTGTTCCTTTTCTTTTTTGGCCACGAAAAAAAAATTTTTTTAAAGGTCATAAACGTTTTATATATATATATATAATGCTGAGGATGGAACCTGGTGCCTTACACGTTCTAGAGAAGGGCTTACAAAACCACAATCCCGGCCCATGAAAAGTATTTTTAACATAATGTTTAGAAAACATGCTCGGGGGTAGCATGATTGCCTAGCCCATGCCAGGCCCTGGGTTCACTCTCCACTACAAAACAAGAAAAAAATGTATTTTTATATGTTATTCACAAAGCAGCCTTTTTAAGTATATAATAGAAATGATATCCATACAGGGATGGGGATATTGCTTAGTTGGTAGAGTGCTTGCCTCATATGCACAAGGCCCTGGTTTCAATCTCCAGCATCACAAAAAAAAAAAAAAGAAGAAGAAGAAGAAGAAGTGATATCGGCACATTCACAACATTGTGAAAGCAACACTTCTTATTCTACAACATTTTTAGAGTTGGAACCGTGAGCCCCACTCACTACTGATGTCTCAGAAGGGGAAGAGGGGCCACAGATGGAGCTAAGGGTAAATTTCCTCTGCCATGCACACATAGTGGAATTTCCATAAAAACCTCTGTGAGAGTTCAAAGAGCTTCCAAGTTGGTGACTACAACAATACACCTTGATAGGTGCTGGGAGAGGGATGCTCTTGGAGGGGGCATGGAAACTGCTGCATTGTCTCCCACACTCCCAGGTATCTCACCTTTATACCTCTTCCCTATGGCTGTTTTATCTGTTGTAATAGATTGGCAAGAGAAATTAAACTCTTCCTGAGTTCTGCAAATCATTCTAGGAAATTCTCGCATCCAAGGAGGGAGCTAGTTAGTCAGAACTAAGAAGCCTGGGACTTCAAGCCTGGATTCTCAGTTGGGGGAGTCTTATGGGAATGAGCCCTTAATCTTTGGGATCTGGTGTTAACCAGGTACTTACTATCAGAAATGAAATGAATCATTTCATTACACACCCACTTGGTGTCAGAGTTGGAGAAGTGGTATATAAAGCCCCTACATATTTTGTCAAAAGTGTTGGGAGTAAGAAAGACTGCAGAAATCCAATGCCAATCCCTTTTACAAACGGTTATGCTAGTGCTATTAAACAATGACATACTAAATTTATGAACACCTCATGTTGTCAGAACAAAGAAGGCTGAAGAATTAAGTGTTGTTTTTAATAATTTCATTGCAAAAAGAATCCTTCTTTTCTCCTTCCAGTTGCCCTATTTGGCCCACCCTTAACATGAGTAAAAATGAATACCTCATAACATTCATAATCCCTATAATATCTCCAGTTAAGGCCCCTAACCAAATATTACTGATTGCTTCAAAGCTACTGATTGAGCTTAATATTTTATACTGTCCCAATTTATCCATCACAACTACAATTTACATTTATCTGAGGGATCCCATTTTACACATACTTTTTTTTTTTTTAACCTATAGGCTATTTCTGTAGCCCTCTACTGTTCAAAATGTATGGAGAAAGGACAATCAAGGGCCTGTCTATCCCCACACACTCAGCTATGGAATTAGTGATGATACTGTACTAAAGAGAGAAACTTATGAAGCCATCATATAAGACATTAGAAATGTTGATTAGACTTTGATCTTGGCTAAACTACCATGATGTACAAGAAGGTTCAGAGCCCTACCTCTATCAAATTTGGAAGCAAAATTTGGTCCATGAAAAGCAGCTGTATGCAGTCAAGCAATAAGTATTGGCTCTCTTTGTTCTGATTTTACTTGTCCCATTTGGTTTTGGATGGTAACAATTCATGCCCTCTTTAGTTTTTTAAAACCTGAGTCACTAATTAATTTGGGTCAGTTTGCAAACTTCACTTTTCTCCAATACATATTTGTTCACAGGAAACCAGAGATTGTAGTACTGACCCAAATATTGGGGGTGAACCGTGACAATTCTAGGAAACTTACACTTTGACTTGGTGTAAGCAATCCATAAGCCTCATCACCTTCCCATGTCTACTGCCTCCTTCACAATCCTGATAAGGTTCCCCTGTGGATCCCAAGTGCATGTGCCCTCCCACCATCTCTTTTAAATTTCCTGCTGGCAGAACTTCCCCATATGAATACTGACTACTCTTTCTATACTAGATTTCACAACAAACCCATTCCTCACCTTTTGGAATCAAAGGGGCTACTGTCACAATTCATGAAAAACAAACCTAACGTTGGAGGGAGCTGCTCCATGTCACAATGCAGTTGCTGTAACAGTTATACAGATTGGCAGGGAAAAAGAGAAAAAAAAAAGTTTTTACAGATAACATGATTATCCACCTACAAAGTCCCAAGGGTTGGGCATGGTGGTGCATGCCTGTAATCCCAGTGACTCAAGAGACTAGGGCAGGAGAATCACAAGCTGAGACCAGCCTCAGCAACTTAATAAGGCTCTAAGCAATTTAGTGAGACCCTGTCTCAAAATGGGGGAAAAAAAAAAGTCTGGGAGGTAGTCCTGTGGTTAAGGACCCCTGGGCACAATACATGGGAGAGAGAAAGGAAGGAAGGAAATCCCAAGGATTTCCTTCAGCTATTTAACAATTTAAACTATTAAGTTTGGCAAGAGGGTAGGTTATAAACAATTGTACTTCTATTGTAGTACATAAACAATTGTACTTCTACATTTTAGCAATGAACAACTGAAAATTAATGTTTGATAAATAGTACCATTTAATTTAGCACCAAAAAGCATGGGATACTTATGTATAAATCTAATAAAATATGTACAGGATCTATATGCTAAAATCTACAAACTTCTCATGAAAGTAACCAAAGAAGTTCCAAACAAAATTATACCATGTCTATGATGTGGAACATTCAATATTGCTATGATTCTAATTGTCCCTAAATTCATTTTACACATTCAATGAAATCCTAAGAAAAATCAGAAAAATGTACTTTTAAAAATCACAAAGCTAGAGTCTACAGATTATGGGAGGACAAACAAAAGTCAAATTAGTGCTGAAAAACAATGGAATTGGAAGACTTACATTATCCTATTTCAAGATATATAAACAAGAGCTATAGTTGTACAACATTTGGCAAAATGATAGATCCAAAGATCAATGAAACCAAAGGGCAGAAAAAGACCTACACACAGATTTTTGACAAAGGTGAGAGAGCAATTCAGTGCTGAAAAGGTAGATAATTGAGTGTCCATACATAAAAAGGGACCTTGGCCTCACACCTTAACAGATTAACTCAAATGGCTCACAGTCCTAGATATCTTCACAGTCCTGAAGACGTAAAATTTTTGTTACCTTGGATTAGGTAGAGTACTTATATCTGGGAACAGAAAAATAATAATCCATTAAAGTCCAAAATTGAACCTTATCAAAAACTTTTAAATTTCCACTCTGAAAAATACTGTTAATCAAATTAAAACAAATGCCACATACTGCGATAAAATATTTGCAAAGCACATGGCTAACAATAGATATGTATTTGGACCAATTTTATACACACACACACACACAGAGTTTTTTTTTTTTCCTTAACATACACAGTTGTTTTTTTCTGTTTTTTTAAGGGCCACGATTTCAACAGTTCACCAAAGTAAATAAGAACACCAAAAAAGCACATGTAAAGACACTGAATGTAGTCCTAGGGAAACACAAATTACAACCAAAACGAGATACCACTAAAGCCTTGTGAAACACAACAGATTAAACAAAAACAAAAGAAAACCCTAAAACATCTTGGTGAGAAAGAACTGGAACTCTTCATACATTGATGATGGGAATACAAAATGGAAAGCCATTTTAGAAGTTTGTCCATGTTTTGGAAGTTAAAAATATTTTTACCATACAACCCAGCAATAATCCTAGATATTTATGAAGACAAAAGGAATCACGTTGATACACAAAACTATGTAAATGTTTATAGCTGCTTTCTTCATAGCTGCTGAATCTGAAAACCCAAATATTCAAGTGAGAAATGGATAAGCAAATGAGCTACATCCACACAACAGAGTACTACTCAGCAATAAAAGGAATGACTTGAGCCTGGGGAAGGAGCCCAGTGGTAGAGCATTGGCCTGGCATTCATGTGGCCCTAAGTTTGATCCCAAGCACTGTCCGGACCCACAAAAAAAGGGAATGACAGGTACATGTAAGAAGATGGGCAAATCTCCCAAGCATTACGCAAAGTGCAAAAAGCCAGAATCAACAATCTACATTCTATTAGATTCCATTGGGAAAAGTAAAAGTAATAGAAAACGTGTCAGTGGTTGCCAAGGACTGGCAATCAGGAGAAGGGCTGACTATACTGAACAAGGGAACTTTGAGGCAGGGGATACTAGAACTTTTAAGTTTTTTACTGTGGTGGTGGTTACCTAACGGTAAACATTTACCAAAGCTCAGCTTTAGTGTATATAAATTATTCCTTATTTAAAATTTTTTAATGTTATATTTCATATTTCTTTTATCTAAGAAATTTTTATCATGAACTGTGGGAGGCCAACCTTACGGGTGACTGAGTTACACTCCCTGGCTGGGTGCTGAGGCGCTCAGTCACAGAAATGGGTGTGTCTTGCTACAGCCCCAGGGGTGAAGCTATGCTCACCTGTTCCTTTGTAATATAACCCCTTGCCCTGTTTAGGGTAGAATCTTCCATGGAAGTGCCTTGTGTGTGGCCTACTCAGGTGTCAGTCAACCTGCTGACAGTGGACATCATGAAGACAGACTCAGCCCCCTGAAATCTGACCCCTTTGCCTCATTTGAATAGCTTCTCCTCAATAAAAGGGGTCAGCACGTGCTCTCTCTCTTTCTGCAGACCCTTAAGGTCAGAAAAGCCGTCACAGCGATCCCAAAGAAAAAGGTATTTGTGTCTCTTGTGTGGTTATTTCGTGCAGCCCAGTTAGCCCAGTTTAACTAGAGTGACCCCTGAGCCTTTTAGTCGCGAGAACAGAAACCCGGCAATGAACAGATGCTGAATTTTGTTAAATGTTTTCTCTGAATCTGAAACACTAATCCTAAGGATCCACAAACAGAAAAGTACTGAACCAATATGATATTCAACAGAGCTAACTAATCTATAGAGTAAAAATCATAATATATATTGGCATTGAAGGTGGGATTGACTGGGAATGGGCATAGAGAAACTTTCTGCTTAACAAAAATATTGTACACATTTGTCAAAACTCAGAAAGTGAAGTGAGGTGTAGATCAGTGATAGAGGACTTGCTTAGCATGGGTGAGGCCCTGGGTTCCATCCCCAGCACCAAAAAACAATTTAGGAAGCCACAGATTTGAGATTTACACGTTACTGAATTCAAACTACACCCCAATAAGGTACAATAATTCTGGCCACAATCCATTGAACTGATTTATGAACCTACTAATGAGCTATACCACTCCCCAATTTGATAAATCTTCATTTATAGGTTGCACAGGGTTGGAAAAATGTGTGCATATATCTAACTTAAATGTCCTCTAAGCCTTGTAGAACAATTCATCTGAGGATGATTTTACAGAAACTAATTTAGAGATGAACTGGAAAAAACCTTTAAATATATAAAAACCTTTCTACTATTTAGCAATTACTGTGAACATACAATATACTAGGCACTGAAAATGCAGAGATTTGGCAGTCAATAAGGTCTCTACTCTCTTGGAGATTACATTCTAATTGAATGGATTTTGGAACTTCCATCTTCGTACTTTTTAGTTTATTCCAGATCAGATTCATCCTTCTTGAGCTTCTTGTCTGTATATATCTGTTAGAGGTGAAGGTTCTGAATAAAGTCATGTGGTCCCATTCTTATGAGGCTTCTCTGTATTTGGTCTCTCAACCACTATCAATCTCTAGCAAAAACCAGCCCTTTTATTAAGCAAATCTTTTATCTTCTATGACAACTCTGATAATTGGACTATTTCAGCACCCATTTGAGATACTAAAACATAAAATTTGACAGTTTATGATGAAGGGAAGTCCTTATCACCCTCATCATCAGCATGGATTCTCTGATGAATTATAAGACTTGAGCTCCAACTGAAGCCCTTCCCACACTCCTCACATGTGTATGGTTTTTCTCCAGTGTGAACTCTCTGATGGGCTTGAAGGTATGAGCTCCAACTGAAGACCTTCCCACATTCCTCACATTTGTATGGCTTCTCTCCAGTGTGGACCCTCTGGTGGGCTTGAAGGTAGGATCTCTGTCGAAAACGCTTTCCACACACATCACATCGGTATGGTTTTTCTCCTGTGTGGACGCCACGATGAGCCAGAAAGTTTGAGGCCCGACAGAAGCCCTTCCCACACTCCGCACATTGATATGGTTTCTCTCCAGTGTGGCACCTCTGATGGGCTTGAAGCTGAGAACCTACACTGAAGCCCTTCCCACACTCAGCACACTGATATGGTTTCTCCCCAGTGTGGACTCTCTGATGCACTTGAAGACTTGAGAACTGACTGAAAGCCTTGCCACACTTTTCACATTTATAGGGTTTCTCTCCTGTATGGATTCTACAGTGAACGTTAAGATCTGAACTCCGACTGAAGCCCTTCCCACAAGTACCACATTTGTATGGCTTTTCTCCAGTGTGGCCTCTCTGATGGGCCAGAAGATTTGAGGCCTGACTGAAGCCCTTACCACACTCCTCACATTTATAGGGTTTTTCTCCTGTATGGACTCTAAAATGAATGTTAAAATCTGAGCTACGACTGAAGCCCTTACCACAAGCATCACACTGATACGGTTTCTCTCCAGTATGGCCTCTCTGATGGTCCAGGAGATTTGAGGCCCGACAGAAACCCTTCCCACACTCCTCACATTTGTATGGTTTCTCTCCAGTGTGGCTTATCTGATGGGCCTGAAGGTGTGAACCCACACTGAAGCCTTTCCCACACTCCTCACATTTGTAGGGTTTCTCCCCTGTGTGGATTCTACAGTGAATGTTAAGGTGTGAGCTATAACTAAAGCCCTTGCCACATGCATTGCATTTGTATGGTTTCTCTCCAGTGTGGATTCGCTGATGGGCCTGTAGTCGTGAACGCCAACTGAAGCCCTTCCCACACTCTTCACATTTATAAGGTTTCTTTCCAGTGTGGACTCTCTGATGGACTTGAAGATAAGAGCTATGGCTGAAGCTCACTCCACACTCCTCACATTTATAGGGTTTCTCTCCTGGGTGGACTAGCAGAGGACCTTGGCAATATGAGCTTTTTCGGACACTCCTCCCATGCTCCTCATGCTTGTATGGATTCTCTCCAGTATGGACTCTCCGATGATGGGGAGATTGCAACTTTTGACTGAAACCCTTACACAATTCATCAGATTTGTTTGAACTCTCTCTACTGTGCACTCTCTGATGGGCTTGTAGACTGGAAAATCGACGGAAGGTATTATCACATTTTTCACATTTGTAGGGCTTGTCTCCTGCATGGGGTCTCTGGTGAGAATCCAAAATTGAACCTTTCTTACATGTCTCCCTTTTGTAATGTTTTTTATCAACATGGATTCTGTGGTAAACTTGAAGACGTGAATCCTTGTTAAAACATTTCTTGAACACATCTTCAGAGAGTGCAACATCTTGTTTTTTTAACCAAGAGCCAGTTCCTTGAATATTTATCATGGACTCTTGATGCCCAGTTAAGTCCCCTGTAACCTGTTGCCAGACTTGTGAGTAGAAAAGCTCATCATGGGGCAGATACTGTAACTTTACTTCTTGGAGAGTCTCTATCTCACTTAGATTCTTATTTCCTAAAAGGACAAAGAGAATTCAGAGATGAGGCATGTGAATGCTCTATTCAGTTAGGCCAATAGCCTAAGGTTTTATTAAGAAGGTTCTATTTTTTTTTATCATCATGCATTAGGTTATCTGTCTTATAAGAGCCCCAAAACCAAGAGACAGTCTACTATGCTCCCATTCACTGCACAATAATGACACTCATTTAGAGTTTTCCTAAGTTTTATAAGTAAGCTATAAGTTAGAAATTTGATAGTCAAAGAGCAAGAATAATACTTCCTAGGAAACCTATTCCAAGAAGCTGAACCTTACCAAAAGGCTTGCCTTCTTTGCTGCAGCAGGTGTCTGGAAAAATCTTCTACATAATTTTTCTGCTTACTGCATGTACAACTGGCTCAGCCATTCAGTCTAGGGTAATTGTTATAGCAGTTGTGACAGACTAAGACAGTGAATTAATGGATTTTAGCATATGTTTACCTATATCCAAAAGAACCTCGTAAACTAGAAATAGGTTAGACACCTAACCGAATAAAGCTGTTCTAGATTGTGTTTCATCACACATTTGTACATTTGTACTTACCAACCTTTAAGTATCTCCATAACTAATAGAAAAAAATCCATGTAACCATTATTAACACATTAATTCATTCCACAAGTATTTATAGGAAACCTGCCCTCTGCCGGGTCAATTTTATACACTGAGGATAGATCAACAAAATAGACAAAAATTTTCCTTTCTTCTGAGGTCACATTCCAGTGGGAATACAGTGAGATAATCATGTAAACAAAAATATGTTAATATAATAAGTGGTGATCAATGCTTAGATGTAAAATAAACAGGAAAAGGGAAGCAAAGGAAGAAGGCAAAATTAACAGAGTGGTCATGGAAGGCTTTTCTTCAGATAGGACATCTGAGAAGAGACCTGATGAACTAAGGGAGGGGCGCCAAGAGGATGACAGAAGGAAACACCACTCCTTACAAAAAGCAGTCCAAGCAGCAGATGATGAGGCACAAGCACACTCAGCCTAGCAGAGAGGCCAGTACGGATGAACTGATTGACAAGGAGGAAAGTCACAGGTGTGTTTACAGAACAATGGGGGAACAAGGAGCAGACAGACACATGAGACATTATAAACCACTTTAGGTACCTGGATTTTACTCTAAACGAAGTAAGAAGTTGTTAGAGGTTTAGAATATGAAATGAGACATGATCTGACTAACATTCAAGAGTCAAAGAGGCTGGGATTGTGGCTTAGTGGTAGAGCACTTGCCTAGCATGTGTAAGGCACTGGGTTCGATTCTCAGCACCACATAAAAATAAATAAAAATCCATCAACGACTTAAAAAATTTTTTTTAAAAAAGGAGCAAAATCAAAGTGGAGAGTGGACTATAAGAGAGCACAACTGAAGGATGAGGGCAGAATAAAGACCACTTCAGTGATTAGAGACCCAGGCACTAGCTTAACTCAGAGCAAAGCTGTGGAGATGACAAGGACAGACACAGAACTGCATGGTTCTCACTTGGGGAGTTACCACTCTGAGTTGACACCTTCTTCATCCAAAGCTCTTCTCTCTTTCTCTCTGGTGTGATGGACTGATGTCCTACAAAAAGACAAAAACAAAATACATTAGAGGCCAAAATTGCTAAAAATTGTCATTCTCCCTGATCATCTTCAGGACATCAAAACTAGTGTTTATGGGCTGGGGTTGTGGCTCAGCAGTAGAGTGCTCACTTAGCATGTGCAAGACCCGGGGTTCAATCCTCAGCACCACATAAAATAAATAAATAAATGAAATAAAGGTATTGTGTCCATCTACAACTAAAAAAAAAGCTAGTGTTTTCCAAACTTTCAATCATGACTCAACAGAGGAAATATATTCTATGCGAAGACCCCAAATATGAAGACATTAGTATACATTACTGGAAAAAAAAAAAGTCCTCTCTCTCTCTCTCTCCTCTCTCTTCTTTTTGGAGGCCGTGTCATGACCTGCTTTCCTCACCATACTGCTAAAAATAAATAAGTAAATAAATAAATAATTTTTTTTAAAAAAAAAAAAGTCTGTTTTCACTGTACCCTCCCCACTGCCTCTCACACTGCTCTTGGCAATGTGATGCAGTTTTGCAGTTATGGTCACATACAGTATTTTCTACTGTACTGTATTTCATTAAGAAACATTCATACAAGGCTGAGGTTGTGACTCAGTGGTAGAGCTCTTGCCTAGCATGTGTGAGGCACTGGGTTTGAGCACTGCATGTAAATAAACAAAATAAAGGTCCATCAACAACTAAAAAAAAAAAAATTTCATACAATTCACTAAATACCATGACCCACTAATTGGAGATGACTGCAATTTTTGTGTGTGTGTGTGTGTGTGTGTGTGTAGTGCCACAGGGCCTTGTGCATGTGCGGCAAGCATTCTAACAAATGAGCTATATCCCCAGCCCAGATGACTGCAATTTGAGAAAAGACAAAAATTACAGCAATCATATTGTCAACTTATTCATTTACAAAAAAATACATTACTCAGGGGAGAAAAATCAAAAAGATTTCAACTCTGTCTCATGATGAAAACTCCAAAGCCCTGCACATCTAGGGACACAGACGTGCCACAGGGAGCTAATGTTCTGCCAGAGCATCTGTCCTCACCCACTGAGACCACATTCCTGAAGTTCTCCAGCATCACATCTTGGTACAGCTTCCTCTGGGCAGAGTCCAGCAGCCTCAGTTCCTCCTCAGTGAAGACCACAGCCACGTCCTTGAATGTCACCACCTCCTAAAACATCAAACAGACTCCACCTAAATGCTGTGGCAAAAATCCACTGGAAAAAGGGTAACACTGAGAAAAGTAGAAAAGATGTGTTGCAGTTCTAGATTCTAAGAGACCATAATATATGTTAAAGATTTCTTTCTTGTCATAATAAATGCTGAAAGAACAACTTTTTTGTATATATTAGTCCATCTAATTATTAGAAGTGAAAATTACTATATCAGTGAATATGCAACTTCAAAATTTGATGTACAGTGACAGGTTTCAAATTTTCCCCGATTTTATCCTTCCCCCAAAGAATATACATATTTATCTAAATTATCATAGACAACACTGACTTTTTTTTAATTCTAGGTAATCTAGTTAGTAAAAAACAAACAAAAAAAACATGTTTTAGTTACTTGCACTTATTTGATGATTAATGAGATCCTATTTTCAAATATTTACTGGCCTTTTTTATTTTTTCTTTGGTACCTTGCTTATTATTATCCTTTTTCTTATATCCCATTTAGAGTTTTACCTTATGTCTCTGTTAAATTTCTATTAAATATTTTAAACTTTTGTTTTGGGGTATATGTATGTATGTGTACATATTAGACATTTCCACCCATATTTTGCTATTATTCTTATATAGCTTTGTGTAACGGCAGTATTTTGCAACTTTAGCCCAACTGATATTTTGGGCCAGACACTTCTTGGCTATGGGGGGCTGTCTGGTGCACTATAAGATGTTTAGCAGCATCCCTAGATTTTATCCACTAGCACCCTCAACTGTGACAAAACTGTTTCAAGATGTTGCCTAGGAAATAGAATTACTCATGATTAAGAATTTTTTTGATAAGAATTAAACACTGTTTTAACTTTTCATCTGAACACTGTTCATCCCCAGAGTTCTGCCTGAATGTGCAGAACTATGAATTATGTCAATAACATAGACAATGGGTCACTGAAGCGTGAACTGAGAAGGGCAGTATGATCTGTAGTATCTTCAACCCACCAGGACAACTTTGGCACCCACAAAGAAAGGCCTAAGTGTTGGGAGCTGCTCTGGAAATACACGCCCTTAAGCCCTGAACAAGAGATACTGGACAATTATTGTGCCCCATTTACCTCCGATCAGATAATGAGGCATGGCTCCAGGAGTTGGCGTCACCCAGCGGGGTTGAGTTACACTCACCTGTTCCCTTGTAATCCTCCCCTTGCCTCATTTGAATGGCTTCTCCCCAATAAAACCAGGTTCAAGGCATGGTCTTTCTCTTTCTTGCCTGCCTTGCCTCCTTTGCAGGACCTGGGTCAGAGGAGCCATCACAGAACCCAAAGAAAAAGGTATTTCTCTGTCTCTGTGTGATTATTTCATGCAGCCCAGTTCACCAGGAATGACCCTGACTGGTTTAGTTCTGTGTCCCAGCACCTAAATCCTTTATACAGAGAATTCTTTTCCCTTCCCCGATCTCTTATCCAAGTAAAAACTTTAGGAGACTTTCTGAATCAGTTGAATCTTCAGTCTCCAGTGTGAATTTTAGCAGTTTTCTGAAATTCTATAATCCTGATTCTTAGCAATGCACATGAAACCAAGCACTACTTTTTAAGGTTGGTTTGAGATCTAAATGCAATAAAAGTACCTAGCAAGTCTTCTTGTATTATAGCTTTAAAAATTAAATACATTATTACTTCAATAAAATAATGGATTTTAAAAATGTAGATCAGGAAGTAAACACATCTGCAGTGTAACTCCAGCATGGGTAAAAGATATCTAGCTTTATTATGTGGATCTTTGATTGGTTAGATCATGTTACATCATGCTGTATTTTTATAGTCTATATGCAAAGTACCACATATCAAAAGTGCTTTTTCAATTTAGTGTTCCTCGAATATTAAGAAAAAAATAACAAAACTCCTTCAAATTCCCTTTTGGAGAAAGGCTTATGATCTAGGAAAACTGTACTACGCTGTTCCTTAACATAACTGTAAAAATTTAAACTACTTAAATGTCCATGAACAGGGAAAAATTATCTCTCAACTCTCCCCACAACAGAATATGCCAACTTAATGGAATATTAATTGCTGTGGTTTGGATCTGGAATGTCCACTGAAAAGCTCATATATTAGTCAATGCAGCAATGTTCAGAGGTGAAAAGATTGGATTATGAAGAATCAGACCTCATCAGTAGATTAATCCATTTAATGAATTAATAATTTGAATGGGGACTGGGGTTGTGGCTCAGTGGTACAGCACTTGCCTAGCATGTGTGAGGCACTGGGTTTGATTCTCAGCTCTGTATATAAATAAATGAATAAATAAATATCCATCAACACTAATATGTATATATATATATTATATATAATATATAATATATATATTTTAAAGAGAGAGAGAGAGAGAATTTTTTAATATTTATTTTTTAGTTTTCAGCGGACACAACATCTTTCTTTGTATGTGGTGCTGAGGATTTAATCCAGGCTGCAAGCATGCCAGCGAGTGCGCTACCGCTTGAGCCACATCCCCAGCCCAATTTATATATATATGTATAAATAAAATAATAATAATAATAATTTGAATGGACTTCACCAGGAGGGGTGAAAATGATAAGCAGGTTAGACCTGGCTGGAGGAAGCAGGTCACTAGAGCATGGTCTTAGAACTACATTTGTCCCTGGTCTCTTCCTGTCTCCTTCCACGTTGTCCCGAGTTGAGCAGATTTCCTCCACCATATTTCTTTCTTTTTTTTTTTTTTTAATATTTATTTTTTAGTTTTTTTGGCGGACACAACATCTTTGTTGGTATGTGGTGCTGAGGATGGAACCCGGGTCGCACGCATACCAGGCGAGCGCTCTACCGCTTGAGCCACATTCACAGCCCCCTCCACCATATTTCTGCCTTGGAGCCAGCAGACCATGGACTGAACTTCTAAAACCATGAACCAAAATAAATCTTTCTTCCACTAAATTGTTACTGTCAGGTGTTTTGTTCGTTTGTTTGTTTTTGGGGGGCTGCTAGGGATTAAACTCAGGGGCACTCAACCACTGAGCCACATCCCAGCCCTATTTTGTATTTCAATTCAACGAAAAGGTCTTGCTGAGTTGCTTAGCACCTTGCTTTTGCTGAGGCTGGCTTTGAAGCTGAGGTCCTCCTGTTTCAGCCTCCAGAGCTGCTGTGATTACAGGCACACGCCATCATGCCCAGCATATCAGGTATTTTGGTCACAGCTAACACAATGATGTAATCATAAAAAATGCTAGGCATATAATAGTTCTTATAAAAGGTATAACAGAATTTTATCTATATAATGATTACAAATATACCATTATATTTACCTGTAAATAAGTATAAAATTTTTTGTATCCTATATTTGAATGCATATGAAGAAAATAGCATGGGAAAATAACTGTCATTTTATTTTTAAAAAAATAGTAGAAAATTGGGATATTTTTATCCACTATTGACTTTTTTATGCTTTTTTGATCAAATTATAAAATGATAAAGCAATGAAAATTAAACTATACTGAAAGGTAGCAAGCATCTGGCACCCAAGAGCTTCTCAAATGCCTACTATTATCCTTAATTCTTCCTCAGAAAAAGAAGCTAGATGGATGTAATCTCTCAGAAATGAAAACGACAATTTAAAATGTGGAAAAGTAAGCCCAACTCACCTTGAATTTGGTCATTGTGTCCTCCTCCTTCTGGGGATCACTAAGTCTTAGGAAGGCATAACATGAGAATGAGGAAAAAAAAGCCAAAAGGTTGTTGCTTTCAAATGAAAACCACCTCGAACTTCTGGAGTATCTGTTATTCTCTTAGTCTGTCATGCTTAACTTGATGCCTCTGAAATAATATTTAAGATTTCCTAAATGACTGGGGTTTGGGGGATGTAAAATATAAAATGTAAAATTTGCCACTTTAACCACTTCTAAGTGTACAATTTAGTAAGTGCATTGACAATGTTGTGCAACCACCTACACTGTTCATCTCCAGAACTTCTGTACCACCCCAAACTGAAATTCTGAACCCACTGAGCAATAACTCCCACTCCCAAGCCACTGGTGACTACCTCCTCTGTGTCTGTGAGTCTAACTCTATGGATGACTGGGTTGCAAAATCTACCTTGTTAACAAAGTAGGGTCTTAAAAAGACTTTATCATGGAGATAAGGAACTTTAACAAAAACCTGTGTCTCTCTAAGTTTTATTTAACCCCAAATTTGATAATCAATGTCAATGAAATTAACAAGCTAATTATCATCATAATCATAAAAACAATAATGGTTAACATTAAATAAACACTAAGTAGATATTAGAGGCCTTGTGAAGCACTTGGCTCATGTCTCATTTAGGTCCCTCACACATACCTGTGAAGAAGCTACTGTTACGATAGTTAGGTGACCTTTGTCCAACCACCTACACATTGGTGCCCATCCTCAGCTATAAAAAGAAGAAAAACAGATTATTAGTCATAGGATTATTATGGGGAATAAATGAATAAATTCATGCAGTACCCTTGGCAAAGTACCTGACATTTCAGCAAGTTTTCAAGAAATCATGATGACAATTTTTATACCCATTGACAGGTGGGGTCAAGAGGCAGGAGTGGTCCTTGAATCCAGCTCTCACACCACAGCCAGTGTTGTAAATCTTGTTTCTCTTTTGCTTCTAAAGACAAAAATAAGCAGATGGAAGTCTAAGTCTGACAGAGAGAGAAATGACAGCCTGAGAACTGTGGATAAAAGACAGACACGGAAACAGGGAGGACTGCGAAGTCAAAGGATCTGCTTGAGGGAGATGAGACCTAAGCTATGAAAGCGACAGGCTCTAACCAGGCCGTCAGTATTTGAATACTGACCTCTCCACTTGCCAGTACTTTGTGCCTTTGCATCTAATCTAAAAATTGGTAATAATAATAAAAACCAAACTCATAGGAAAGTCAGTCAAACTCATAGGAAAGTCAGTCAAAGTGACTAAGTATACATAAAGCTTTTGGAAGTGTCTGGCAGTTTAAACCTTCAATATATATTCCCCAGAGACCAACATGGCTGTTTCATGTGAAAGAGTCAAAATATTCCTTCTTTGGTGCTATGGATTGAATGAATGTGGCCCCTGAAAATTCATATGTTAAAACCCTAATGTGATGTACTGAGCCTCTGGTAGAAAATTAAATCATGAGGGTGGAAACTCCCCAATGAGATTAGTGTCCTTACAAGAAGAAAAAGTGAGGGCTGGGGTTGTGGCTCAGTGGTAGAGCACTGTCCTAGCATGTGTGAGGCACTAGGTTCAATTCTCAGCACCGCATACAATAAATAAAATAAAGGCCCACTGACAACTAAATTTTTTTTTAAAGGAAAAGAAAAAGTGAACTAGTCTCTCAACCCCCAGTATGAACAATATGAGGCTACTAGAAGATGGCACCTGCAAACCAAAGAACATGGCCTCACCAGACATCAGGTTTGCCAACACCTTGATCCTGAACTTTCCAGCCTCCAGAACTAGGAGAAATAAATGTATGTTGTTAAGCCACCTGGTATGTGGTGTATTATAGGAGTCGAAACTGACAAAGACACTCAGGTGACTATAGCTGCACACAGCTTGGTAAGTAAAATATAGGCTGGATTCCAGATATTACTCAAACTTTCGGCTGAGGCCCCTGCATAGTAAACAAGGCATCAACTACACACAGTGGCCCTAATACAAATTCTCCTTACAGATCTCAGGATATGGTTCTGATTCTGAAGAAGGTAGAAATAAAGAGGAAAATATCCAGCTTAAGAGATCAGTATTAGTTAATTATTAATATATTGCTTCTAAGTTAATTATTAGATAGGTAGAAGAACCTATTATGAATTTCTTCCCAACCATGGAGAAAATCCCCATTCAAAATTTGTGATTTGCTTTGTTCTAATTCCATATCTGTCCAGCAATTTCTTCTTGGTAAGAATGTTTTGCCCTCTCCTATTCCTTCTGGGGGAAAAGAAATAATTAGTAAATCAACCATCTCTCTTGTGATTAACAGTTATTGTTTTATATTCCAAGTACCTAAAACATCTCCAAGAAAGTAACTGTTCAGTAAAACTGACTGAAAGAATGAATTAACCCACCACCAGATAGGCACAGGCACATGGCAAGACTAGACTAGTTGGTCTAGATCTCTTTTGAGTTGCAAAGGAGAGCAGGAAGATTCCTTTTGTGTCATGATACACACTGGAGCACCCTATTTCCAGTTGCCTGATAGGACAGCTACCTACATGAATCACACTTACTCACTGATAACTCCTCTCTGCCAACCTTTTGCTTAACACTCTGAGAATATGATGAGGCCCATGAATCAGAAGTCCCTATAGTCTAACAGGACAGAGAAAAGAAACTAAGGGTTATACGCCTCAATGCAGCAAAGAAATTCATCAACTTCCCTTTCCTAACTACAACTCTTTCTCACATTAATAATATTCTCCAAGTTGCCAAGAGCAAGAACCTAAGAGTCGCTGTTAACATCTGTTATAGGCTCATTTGTGTTCCTTCCAAACTCATATGGAAGTCCTAACTCTCAGCATCTCAGAGTGTAACTATTTGGAGATACTGCCTTTACAGAAGTAATTACATTAACACACAGAGGGGTAGTAGAGGAGTTCTGGCACATGGAGGAGGAAAGTCTCAGAAAAAGCCAAAACTCCTGACATCTTGACCTTAAACTTCTTGCCTCCAAAACTGTGAAAAAAATCAATCTCAGTTATTTAAGCTACTTAATCTGTGGCACTCTCTCATTAGAGCCCTAGCAAATGAATATAATCTCTTGTCCCTGTTCTTCACATAAAAATACCTACATCATAGGGCCTTTGTAAAGGTTAAACGAGTTAATTTTCATCAGCAAGCCCTTAGAGCACTACTTGGCACTGAATATTTCCTATTATGGCTATTATTCATGGCACATTTTTCCAATTATTAAACAATAATTTAACTTTTGTAGCAGAAACATTTGTTAATGAACGAAATACCTTCTTCCACTCTAAACAGAACAGGAAGATGAATCCTAAGTTCTGCCCAGTGAGGCTCTGCTGCCGGTAGCCTGGGATTCACTCCTCCTCTCCGCAGCCTTTCAGAAGACGGGGCAGGGGAAGGGAAGAAGGCTGGGGGGTACCATGATCTTATTTGTGGGACTGGAAAATCCACACAGGATCTCACCAAATTCCATCTGTGAGCGATGCACGCTTTCTTCAAAAAAACAGGTCAGAAGTAGTCCAGGGGCTGCCTTCTTTACGCTAAGAAGAGCGAGTGGTACTGCAAAGACCTTGCAAGGAAACGAACAGTGTTTGGGTTACTATAGTGGTCCTACCAGACACGCCAACAACCGGCCACACGCCTACACTGTCCTGCAAATTTAACTTGTACTCTCAGACTGAAAACAAATGTTTAAGACAGGTACTTTTACACGTGAGGAAACCAATGCTCTGAAAGATTCCTACCGAACCTTATGCTGCTGAAAGCCACAGGGAGTGGGGAAGGAGAGGGAAGGCGGGTCGGGCAGCAGAGCCCAGAGCTCAAAGGCTGCGCTCCAGGTCCGCCTCCAACCCGGGGACTCGCGAACCCACCAACAGCAAAGGTCCCAGAGAACCGAAGGCGGCGCCGCCCCTGTCCCTCCACCCCGCCCTCCGCCGCTAATCGCGGCTTCTCTTCTCGGTGACCCAGGTGCAGATCTCGCTGACCCTACCATCAGATCACAAAGATTACAGGAGACCGCGGGGTCCCCAAATCCACTCACCGCCCTGAGAGGTACGACACGGGCCGCGATCGCTACCCCGCGACGGAAGTGCGCGGTGGCTCCGAGCTCCGGAACTACACTTCCCAAGATCCCGCGGGAGTGGAAGTGCTGGCGCAGACTTGCGTCGCCTGAAAAGTTCCGAGAACGGCGGGCTTTATATTCTCCTTCTCCGGCAGCCGAAGTGCCACCCAACATTCTGGGCACTGTAGTATCCCTGCAGTTCTTGATGTCTCTCAGTGGAGCAACCACCGTGGCCACGCCTTCCCGGGGCGGAAGTGCTCCAGCCAGAGGAAAGGTCTGGACTACACGTCCCAGAATCTCGGGTAAGGCTGAGCTTCCTCTTGTTAGATGGAGCCTGCAATTTTCCTTTGGATGAGCAGGTGGAGTCTAAATCAATGTTTGTTTTCCAAATCAGCCTGGGTTGGTGGTGATTGTTGTTTTGTTGTTTTCTCATTGTGAGACAGAAGTATAGGGTTCAAAGTTGGTGATAATTAACTGAAAGGCACATTTTCCAGGCTTGAGTGTCAGGGACAGGAGTAAAGAGTTCAAATTTAAATTGGAGAAGGTTTAAAGAAAAGCACTACATGCTTTATGCTTAAGAAGAATGATAAAAAGGCCTACCCAACTACAACATTGTTCAAGACTAACAAGAAGAAAATCAAACCGATGCAAGCAGGTCTGACCACAACCCTTTAAAAGAAACCAGGAATAAGCCTAAGTAATAGTAGAAAAATCATGTAACTGTAAAACATAGGATTTAAGCCATAGGATAAGTCAGTGTGTCAGTAGTTATAGATAAATAAGCAAGTAGATTAATATAGATAAGGTTAGATTAACATAGCAACCTGCTCTTGTAGCCTTGCATAGGATAAAGGACATAGGGTTTATGGATATTAGTAAAATGACAGATGAAAATGTGCATATAGGCCATAAGATAACTGTAGTTTTAAGTAGGCATCAAACAAGTTACTAGTCCTGAGTGTGTAAAGCATTTGCTCTCGTAGAGATTCATTAGTTACTCTCAACAATGCGCACTTTGCTGGGATTATGAGAATAGGGTCATTTGAGTAAACAAATGTGACTAGAGAAACTTCATCTTAATTTCTTTTTTACTGTCCCTGTGAAGGGAGAACTGCATGACCCATTTCTAGGAAATAAAAACTAAAGCTGTTTTCTTATTTTAAAAAAATTCTTTCTGTACTTTGTACCCCATAAATTGTACCCTACTCAGGATGCAGCGGCGGTGGTGGTGGTGAGCTACATCCTGGGTTTGAAAGCCCTTGAGGGTCTACATGACTTTGAAGTAGATTCTTGCCCTGCAGGCCCCCACCCAAATTTAGGAAATGACTGTCTAGTACCTGCTTGAACCGCGGACTGTGGTCAACTGAACTCCAAAGCTAACGCTTCTTTTAGCTTCTATTTATTACTTGCTTGCTAACTGGAAAATTCCAGCCCTGCCTAGAGCCCACAGGTCCCACTTATGAATGTTTTAATTTCTGTGATTGGTAGTTTACATGACGACAAGCAAGTCACTAAGTTGTGGTTTTTGTGCTTATATTCTCCTTGGATGGACCAGGAAGTTGCTGTCCAGCCACAGAACTTGAGTCTCTCGGTGGGTGACAGTCTCTGGCCAGGTAAATAAAACTCTCTTTTAATTTGAAATTCGGGCATAGAGTGCTTTCTGGAGCGGCTCCTCGTAACAATACCAACTTGGAGGGTCAAAAAAAAAAAAAAACAAAGTCCCTGTCCCTATAGAGCTCTCACCCTGGATACATGCTGCAGACTGCACTTTGGAACCCTCAACCTCCTCCTCTTGAACTCAAGATTTCCTGTCAGCTTGCCCTTGGCTCGGCGATCCTGGCGGGACTCAGATTCCGCCTTCCTCTCCTAACGTCTTGCAGTACCTGGCCGTGCGGCGCATGCCCACTTCGAGCACGGGCTACAGAGCGGGAGGCACCCAGGTCAGGATTCTTCCGGCTGCACTACATTTCCCAGGAGCCTTGGAGGTTGACTCACCTTTCACCCTTTAGTCCTCTTCCTGTGTGCCAGTGGCCACAGTCCCAGCGTGGTGAGAAAATCGTGTCCCCCTCCCAAAACCCCCCTTCCCAAAAATAAATTCCGCGGAGGCTTTCACATCCGGAATGGACCTGGCAGTGGGGGTGAGAGGCTCCGAAGGCGAGGAAGCCCAGTGAGGTAGGGACCCTGGTCCCAAGCCCCACCCCACCTCAGGCAGCCGAACTGGTGAGGCTAAGGATTTAGCCTCCTGCCCTCTGTTATTGGAGGAGCTGTTTTCCCCAAAGAGTGAACAGCAAGATTCTGTTTTTCTTTCTTCTGTACCAGGGATTGAACCCGGGGGCCCTTCACCACTGAGCCACATCCCCAGCCCTTTTTGTGTGTTTTACTTAGAGACAGGGCTTCCTCAAATTGCTAAGGCTGGCTTTGAAAATCAAGGTCCTGCTTTAGTCTCGAGAGCCGGTGGGATTACAGGCTTGTCGCGCGACAAGATTGTTTTTCAGAAAGATTGTCCGACCTTCCGAAGGAGCATGCGCAGAGACCCACGTTTTACCTAGAGTCAACTAATAAGGGAACCCCCCCTTCCCCGCCCCCGCTGAAGATCCCATTCGTAGGACTCGCTTATCACACTTCTAGGGTAAAACTCTGGAATGGGAGCTTTGGCGCATGCGCTATAAACATTGTGGGGATAGGAATCTGTCAATCATTCCTTGTTTAGCATAAATCACTTCTAGCAAAAAGCCCGGCAAAGGTGGACAAAGAACTCAGAAGCGCCTTTAATCCCTGACCTTTTTGAGCTGGCAGCCCTATGTCTTTGTTTTCTGTCCCTCTTGGGCACAGCACAGTATCTTCCTTCCTCCAATAAAACTCCTTTAATTAAAGGTCCCCTCACACCCAGAGAGCTGGCAGGTCTTGTCCTGTGCGAAGTCTTAGAGCAGCAGAGGGGGAACTGCGTTGTGTCTCTGACGATGTTTGTGTTGGCGCATCACTAACTGGTTGATTGGATGCGTGGCTTATGGGTAGGCGAGAGTTTTGTGGCTGTGTGTTGATATGTTACTTAATGTCTCTAGGTTCTGATTTCTCAGCCTTCTCTCCTTTCAGTCGCATGGGGTCGGCAGCAAGTAAAAGGAAAACCAGATTTTGAGCCAGAAGACAGACTTGATCTTGAGAAAAGACTTTTTTTTTGTTTTGTTTTTTAACTTGGCCTCATATTTAAGGCTGGAGTCTGGGTAGACCTGATGAGGCTATCCCAGGAGTAGGATTACCTTTGGGAGGTTCCTCTCTGGAAGTTCCAAGGAGTTAACGACATGTTTTCATAACTACAGTATTTCCCAAAACTCTGGCCAAAGGCTCCAGATATGAACCTGACCTCTCTTGTGTTGGGAAAATCAATTCCAGTCTCCTTCCTACCCAGGTCTGGTAATGTGTGGACTAGGTGAGCAGGTGAAGCAAGAATTAAAGACAGGCAGTGTAGATAGGTGATCTTGATTGGTGGGGAAGATGACAGCTGATTCAAAGGGAATGGAGTGTTATCTTTTTCTTCCTCTAGTTAATTGCTCTTGAATACACCCACTAGTCTAAGGATCTGGGAAGTGAATATCTCCCAAATTAACATGTGAATCCTAGTATACCTTAAGGGCGCCCTGGGACCCCCTAGAATGTAACCCTTCTAGGGTTCCTTTAAAAAACCCCTATCACTCCTGATTGACATTCATAGCCTTTGGGACAGGAGTCCCCTGTTTTTCTCCTTTGATAGCGAAACAATGAAACAGCCTTTTGCTTTTTCTCAAAACCATGTCCTCATTATTAAATTGGCATTAATTGGCATTGGGGACAAGGACTGAGCCTTCTGCAACAGGGACAGGACACTGTCACTTCTTGGGATATGAGGACATCAGCTATGGCCCTTTTTTCCCTTTCAGGAGACATCTGTTACTATTATTTAAATAAAACTCACTTTCCCTGCTTGCCTTGGCGCTTCTCCAGTGTTTAATCTTCACATCTGGGAAGCAGAACTGATAACCAGTGGTATCACAGGTGTGATCTTGAAGGGTGTTTTCTCAGTTACTGTGCTATGGGTGAATCCTGATTTTTCATGATTGCTTTCTCTTTTCCCAGTGCCACACCTCTCTAAAAAACAGACAGACAAACAAACAAAAATCCTGGAAGAGGAAAGAATTTTTGTTGCACATCTGAAAGTTAAAAGTTCAGGTGAGTTTATGATTCTTCATTCTTCATAACATGCACTTTAATTTCAAATACTTGAGACTCTTTCCCTTCTCTTGAAATGTTCTGCCTCATAGTGACTGATCTGTAAATACAAGATCTCACTTTCAGGGCCTTCTCTATATTATGTATGTAACCTCTTGCCTACTGTTAGCTATTATGCTTCAAAGCTCATAATGAATATCATTACACATAGACCTCTATGTCTTTTTATAGTTATTCCCTGAGGATAAACTTCTAGATTTGAAATTTCAGTCAAATCATAGATATAATAAAAGCAGACAACATTACTTCAACTCAGAAAGATAGTGGTTCATATTTCCTTTTATGTTTAATGGTAGTTATAGTTTTTTGTTTTGTTTTGTGGTGCTAGGGATTGAACCCAGGATCTTGTGCATGTGAGGCAAACACTGTACCAACTGACCTATATCCCCAGCCTGGTAGTTATAGTTTTTATTCCGTATATTTTCTTTATCACATGAAAGAAGTTCCCTATTGCTCCAAATTTACAGAAAATTTTTTCTTGAATTGATTTTTTTAATTAAATGACATTTACATTTCTAAAATAAATCTCAGTCATTTATATTACTGGTTTTTCTTTGCAATATTTTTTAATATGCTTGCATCTGTGCCCATGGGAAAGATATACTATATTTTTTTCCTTTCTTGAAATGTCCTTGATAGGTTTCTATACCACAATTATACAGGTGGTGTGGTTTGGATGTGGTTTGTTCCAAGCCAAAATTCATGTTGAGGCTTTGAGAGTGACAGGGAATTGAGGGGCACCTGGAGTCATGAGGGATCTGCTCTTACAAATGAAATGTACTAAGACAGCTCACTTCATGACATGGTCCATATATTTCTGTTTACTTGAGAAGGCCAAGTTTGGTTGGTATTTTTAATTCTGTAAATGAAAGAATTTGCCACTGAAGCCTTTGGGCCTAACATTATTGTGGTAGAAAGATAGTTAATATGGATTTAATTTCTTTAATACATATAGCAATATCCTGATTTGCCATTTCTTATATCATTTTAAATTGCCTTTTCTGGTAATTTTTAAAATTTCCTCCAGGTTTTCAAGTTTATCATCATAAAATTGTTTATAAAGTTCTGTTATCATTTTCATTTCTGCAGTGTATATAGTGATACCTCCTTTTATATTCCTGATAATTGACCGGGTTTTTTTTACTTGTTTATTCATCTCTCTAATGAAGTAGCTTCTGACTGTACTCATTTTGCTTTTTTATATATCCAGTTCTTTATTTTTTTTTAATGTTATTGGTTCTTTAATGTTATTATTTTCTACTTTCTGTAAGTTTAATTTGCTTTTCTTTCTTCCTCCTCCCCCTCCCCCTCCTCCTCCTCCTTCTTCTTTTTTTCCAATGTGGAGATAGAACCCAGCACCTTCTACATGGTAAATAAGCATTTTAAGATTAAACTATATCCCCAGCCCATCTTTCTCTATTTCTTGAGGTAGAGAATTAATTTTAAACCTTTCTGTTTTCTTGAAACATACATTTAAATCCAAACATGATTTTGTTAACATTGGTTTAACTGCACCACACAAGCTTTCATAAGTTGTATTTTCATTATCATTCAATTAAAAATATTTTGTGCCTTCTACTTTGATTTATTCTTTGAACTATAGTTATTTAGAATTATACTCCTTATATCTGAAAACATTTGAGGAATGCCTATTTTTTAATTTTAAAGACTTAAGAAAATATCCATTGTTTTGTATTAACCCTTTGAAATTTAGATACTTGTTTTTTGACCCAGAATATTATCCTGGTAATTATGATGTCAATGTTTGAAAAGAATGTATAAACTGCAGTTTATAACTCAATTTGATTATGTTCAAACTTCTATGGACTTGTTGATTTTTGCTTTGTGTGTTGTCTTTTCTGTTAACAGTAGTGTTAAAATCTCTAATTTTAAATATGTCTAGCCTTTACTTCTGTTGACTTTTGTTTATATAGTTTGAAGCTCTCTCATTAAGTACCTACAAATATTAGGACTACTATTCTGTTCTTGGTGAAAGGTAGAGTATGTCCCCTTTGTTACTTATAATATTTCTTGCATCAAAGTCTATTTTTTCTGTTACAAGTACACTTATACCAGCTTTCTTCTGATTTAGATCCAATATATTTTTTCATTCTTTAACATATCTGTGTCTTTACATTTAAGGTACAATTCTTATAAGCAACCTAATTAATCCTGGCTTTTTTTTTTTTTTTTTTCCTTGTGGTGCTGGGGATTGAACCCAGGGCCTTGTGCATGTGAGGCAAGCTCTCTACCAACTGAGCTATATCCCCAGCCTTGGAGTTTGCATCTTCAGAATGAGAGAGGCCATAGGTCAGATGGATCTGCTTTGGTGCAGTGGTACCTTTGCTCTGTGTCCCCACTTGTGTGGTCTGAGTGGAGCGGGCTTGGATTTGTCTGGACGTCTCTCATCCCTTGACATGTGTTAATGTTTAGAGAATGGCAGGAAGAGGAAGAAGAAAGAATAAAGAAAAAAAAAAGCTTCAGAGTTCTTAAGTCCACCAGGTCTCAAAGTCTCTTTTTCCTTCCCTAGCTCTGGTTCTCTGAACTTTTCTTCTCTAGTAGAGGAATACCAAGGAAGGCCAGCATGGTTAAATCATGGCCCAGGTAAGTTGATGTCTCTTTCTACTTCTTGAAAAGTTATGATTTTAACTCATGTAATATTTTCTGGTTTTATCCCTAAACAGCCTTTATAAGACAGCTGTTGGACGCGTTTCATAGTTCCCATGTGTCAACTTACTTTTACTTATTCATCAAATAATTCTGCAGTATGTTCAATCTTCTCTCAAGAGCAGGTTTTAAGCCGAGTGTGGTAGTGCATGCCTATAATCTCAGCAGCTCTGCAGGTTGAGGCAGGAGGATTTCAGGTTTGAAGCCAGCCTCAGCAATTTATCAAAGCTGAAAGCAACCTAGTGAGACCCTGTCTTCAAATAAAAAAAATAAAAAGGAACCAGGTGCAGTGGTGCTCGCCTGTAATCCCAACAGCTCGGGAGGCTGAGACAGGAGGATTGAAAGTTCAAAGCCAGCCTTAGCAATGGTGAGGCAAGGTGCTAAGCAACTCAGTGAGACCCTGTCTCTAAATAAAATTCGAAATAGGGCTGGCGATGTGGCTCAGTGGTTGAGTGCCCCTTAGTTCAATCCCCAGTATCAAAAAAAAAAAAAAGAAAAAAAGAAAAAACATGGGCTGGGGTTGGGTTGTGGCTCAGTGGTAGAGCACTTGTCTAGTATGCTTGAGGCACTGAGTTCGTTCCCAGCACCACATTAAAAAAACTAAATAAACAAAATAAAGGTAAAAGAAAAGGGGTGGAGGGGGCTGCTAGGGATGTGGCTCAGTAGTTAAGTGCTGTTGGATTCAACCCTAGGTACCAAGAAAAAAGAGCAGATTTTGAGTAGTGAAAAAATTAAGTTCCTTAAAAAGAAAAAAAAAAAAAGAAGTTCCTTGAAGGAAATATTTAAGCTGTCCTTGTCAGATTCTCAGTTTCATGATATAGAAGTGATGGTCTTGTTGGACCACAAGAAGGAAAACTTTCTCCATAGTTTTTTGAATAGATAAAGGAAAATTTTGTTGTGAATGGTCTTAGTGCAAGACGAGGTCTCAGCTTTGATAAGCTCTTAGGTTTGGGTAGAGAGAGGATTGGGTCTTACCTAGAGAGAGATCAGAAGCCTAGCTAGAGAGATGAATAAGGTAGCAAGGTCTGTTTTGTAGTGGAAGGGAAGTTGCTTATCTTTAGTGAATCAGTGTTGTTCTGGATCATTCTGCATTAGTGTATTCTAACTCAGTAACAGTAGTTCAGTAAGGGATTATAGAAAGGAAGGCCCTTTAGAACTTGATAGAAGAGGTGATGCTTTTCTGCAAGGAAGAGGTTGGGATTTGTGTCCAATATAAATAGTATAATATTATGTATATTAATATTATTATTAATAATAAAACCTAGTACTTTAAGAAATATTACCTGACAAGAGGGACTAAATGAAATCATTAATTTGTCAAAATAAGGGAAATGCTTATGACATAATCTGACATATAAGAAACTTGTGTTTTGACTTCATTTTACTTAAGTTGTTTTCTTTTCTTTTCCTTTAGTACTTGGGATTAAATTCAAGGGCACTCAACCACTGAGCCACATCCCCAGCCCTATTTTGTATTTTATTTAGAGACTGGGGCTCACTGAGTTGCTTTGCTGAGATTGGCTTTGAATTCGCCATCCACCTGTCTCAGCCTCCTAAACTACTGGGAAACAGGCATGCGCCCTCATGCATGGCCTTAAATTGTTTTCTAAGATAGAGGCTATCAGCTTTTTTGAGATATAAATGACATAAATGAGTGTTTTAATTTTTGCCTTTTTATAGAAACTTTAATTATAAGTGACAGATAATAAACTGTTCATATTTAAGGCATCTGGTAAATTTGGATATGTACATTAATATACCTGAGAAACTATCACCAGTCAACATAATGAACAAATCTATCAATCCAGACATTTTTTGGAACTAGGGATTGAATCCAGGGCTGCTTACCCACTGAGCCACATCCCTATCCCTTTTTATTTTTTATGTTGGGACAGGGTCTTACTGAGTTGCTTAGGGCCTCACCAACTTGCTGAGAGGCTAGCCTCAAACTTCTGATCCTCCTGCCTCAGCCACCCAAGTTGCTAGGATTACAGGTGTGCACCACCATACCCAGCTTTTAAACATTTTCTTATATCCCTTTATGATTGCCTCCTTCCTGCCCACCCATCCTACCTTTATTTCCCAACAATTGTTCTACTTTCTCTTTATATGGGATAGTTTGCATTTTCTAGAATTTTATATAACTGGAATTATATATAATGTTCTTTTTTGGAAGATCTGTCTTATTTCATTCAGCACATTTTGAGATTCATTCAGGTTGTACTGTATATTTGTAGTGCATTCCATTTTATGGCCCAATAGTGTTCTCTTCTAAGGTAATTCCACAGTTTATCCATTTATTTCTTGATGAGTATTTTAATTATTCCCATTTTTTGCTATTACAAATAAAGCTGCTGTAATCATTCATGCACAAATCTTTATAGGCACATATTCTTTTCTTTATCTTTGATAAATACTAGGATTAGAATGGTTGGTCATATGGATGCTTAGCTTTTTAAGAAACTAACAAATGATTTTTCAAAGTGATTAAACTATTTTACATTCCCACCTGTGGGGTACAGGAGTTCTGTTTTGTTCCCACATCCATGGGACACTTCAGATGGTCAGTGTCTTTATTGGCAGTCATTCTAATAATTGTATATTGTGGTTTTAATTTGTATCAACATTTATTTTGCATTTCCCTAATAAATAATAATGCTTAATAAATATCTTTTTTAAAAAACATTTATTTTTTAGTTTAGGTAAACACAATACCTTTATTTTACTTTTTATGTGGTGCTGAGGATTCAAACCCAGTTCCTCACACATACGAGGTGAATGCTTTTCCTCTGAACCACAGCCCCAGCCCCAAATAAATATCTTTTCATTTGTTACTTATATGTATATATACCTTCATTTATGAAGTGTCTGTTCAAACCTCTTGCCTTTTAAAAAATTAAGTTATTATTCTAGCATTGAATTTTGAGAGTTGTTCATATAGTCTTTTTTAAAAATACCTTTATTTTATTTATTTTTTTGTTTTGTTTTTATGTGATGCTAAGGATTGAACCCAGTACCTCACACTTGCTAGGCAAGCACTTCACCCCTGAGCTACAAACTCAGCCCATATATGCATACTTTTTAATATTTTTTAGTTTTAGATGATCACAATGCCTTTATTTTATTATTTATTTTTATGTGGTGCTAAGGATCAAACCTAGTGCCTCACGCATACCAAGCAAGTGCTCTACCACTGAGCCACAATCCAAGCCTCAGCCCATCTAGTCTTGATATAAGACTTTTATCATACATATGGTTTGCAAATATTTTCTCATAGTCTATAGGGTAATTAGACTTCATTCGTGCTGTTTCACTGCTCATCATTTCTAAGCCTCACCCCATCCTCTTTCCCTTCCATATCCTAGCTGAGCAAGATGATAAGAAAATTCAGGGGCTCTTTCCTTTGGTGCTAGTGGAAGGTTGGTTCAAACTACACACATCTCCTTACATGCAAGAACCTTCGCCCAACCCCATTCCTTAAACACAATAAAAACTTTAAGGTATTTTCCTTTCTCTGTTTTCGAAAGCCTTTTTTCTACCTACTTAATCATCTGACTCTCTCCAGAAAGCACTATATATAAATCTTTTTATATCTCCTTAGGTGGTAGGATCATCAGTCTCAACATCTGAACCAAATTTTGTGAGGAAGTTAATTTCTCTGTAGGGTAGCTTATCTCTTTACTCATTTAACATCGACTTTTGAAATCCAGGAGTTATAAATTTTTATGAAATCCAGTTTACCAGTGTATTTTTTTTATGAATTGTACTGTTCCTATTGTGTCTGAGGAATCTCTGTCTAACTGTAAGGTTTTTTACACTCCATTGTCTCCTAGAAGATATATAGTTTTAGGTTTTACATTTGGACCTATAGTTGGTGTTAATTTTGGCATATGGTACAAGGTATAGATCATATTTTTGCATATGGACGTCCAATTGTTCAGCCCTGTTTTGTGAAAACATTAGTGTTTCTCTACTCAACTGTCTTAGCACCTTTGTTAGAAGTCAGAGCCAAGTGCAGTCGTATATGTGTAGTGCCAGCATCTAAGAGGCTGAGGTGAGAGGATCACTTGTCCAAGAATTGAAGAGCAGACTGGGCCACAGTGTTATCCAGCTTTTCATTGCTGTGACAGAATACCTGAGAAAATCAGCTTAAGGGAGGAAAGGTTTATTTTCACTCATGGTTTCAGAGGTTTAAGTACGTAGTCACTTGATCCCATCACTGTGGACTTGTGGTAAGGCAGAACATGATGGTGGGAAGTGTGTGGTAGAGAAGAGCTGCACCTCATAGTAGCCAGCAGAGGCTGTAGTCAAGATGTAGTCCCCAAAGGCATACCTCCAAGGACCCACTCCCTTCAGTTAGGCCCCTCCTTCTAAAGTTTCCACCACCTCCCAATAGTCCATTCAGTTATGAACTCGACTGATGAGGTTTATCTTCCTCATGATCCAATCACTTGCCAAAAGCCCTGTCCCTGAATGTAGCTGCATTGGGGACCAAGCCTTCAACACATGAGCTTTTGGAGGACATTCTGCATCCATACCATAAGAACAATATAGTGAGACCCCTGTCTCCAAAAAAGGAATAAAGGTCACTTGTCTGTATGTTTGTAGGTCTGTTTCTCCATTCTTTGTTCTGTTACTTTGGTTGGTTTGTGTGTTCTGATACGGGCATCACATTGTTTTTTGTTTTTGTTTTTGTAGTTGTGGATGGACAACATGCCTTTATTTTATTTGTTTATTTTTATGTGGTGCTGAGGATTGAACCCAGTACCATGTGCGAGGCAAGCACTCTGCCACTGAGCTACAGCCCCAGCCCAACACATGTTCTTTTCCCTATTTTAACATAATAAGTTTTCCAGTCGGAGGGATAGTACTCCAACTTTGTCCTTTTTCAAAGATGTCTACACTATTCTAGGTCCCTTATGTTTTTTAAATGAATTTTGGAATCAGCTTATCAATTTCTAAAACAAACCCCCCCAAAAAAAAATCCTGCTGGGGTTTTGATTGGGAATGTGTTGAATCTGTGTATTTGCAAAGATAATCATCACCTGATCCATGAACATGTTATCTCTTCTTTTATTTATGTCTTTTAAATTTTTTTCTCAGCATTTATTTCTGGGTTTTAAAGTATGAGTATCGCACATCTTTTATTTGATTTATTAAATTTGTATTTGATATTTTTCCACTCAGTATTCAGTATTTTTTATTTAAATTTCCACCAGCTTTTGCTAATATTGAGATATAAGTATGGTTTTTGTTGTTGTTTTATGGTGTTGGGGATTGAACCCAGGGCCTCCTACATGCTAGACAAGAGCTCTATGGCTAAGTACTATGTCCCATTAAAGATGTTATTGATATTTGAATATATTGAACTTGGTCTTCTTGCTGATCTCATTTAATAGTTTCAGTGACTTTTCCATAAAATTCTGCTGGATTTTCTATAACATTAGTCATATCATCTGTGAATGAAGAGAATTTTACTTATTTTATTTCTTGCCTGTTGCATTGACTAGAACCTCTACACAATACTGAAAAGAAGTGGTGAGAGTAGATATCCTTGCCTTATTCCTGAAGGAAAGCATTTAGCCTTTAACTAATAAATGTGATACTTGCTATGGGTTTTTGTTTGTTTGTTTGTTTGTAGATGTCATTCATTAGGTTGAGGTTTCTTGTTTTGCTGAGAATTTTTATCAAGATTAGATGTTGGATTTTTATCAAATGCTTTTTCTGCATTTATTGATATTATTATATGGTCTTTCTTAATATGGTGTTGTGTTTTTTTTTTTTTTTTAAGGTCAAAGACAGCTTATTGCTTTGCTACCAAAGGAGAAACACAGGGGGGGACTCTTGTACTACAGGCTGTGATTCTGCCCATCAGCAAGAACTAGAGGTTTTCAAAGAGGTCAATATGGTGAATTATATCAACTGGTTTTCAAATGTTAGACCTACCTTGAATTCATGCAATAAACTTTATTGCTTTTCTATGTTGTTGGATTCAGAGTGCTAAAAATTGTTTAGAATCTTTGCATCTATGTTCATGAGGGATATGAAGCTTGTAATTTTCTTGTAGTATTTTTATCTGGTTTGGCTATGAGGATAATACTCAGGAAGTCCACTGGGTTTCACTTCAGTTCCCCCTTCCTGTGCCACAGTCTAGAAACTGTCTTCTTACAGTGAGCTATATCAGTTGTAGGTCACACCTCATTTGTTATTTCAGAGATCATAGTTTGCTATTATCCAGTGTTTTCTGTGTTGAAACCATGTTTCGCATATTTTATCCAGTTTTTCATTTATTTCATGTAGAAGGGCAAATTGAATCTCTGTTATTCCATCAGAGTAGGAGAGATTTCATAATGTTTTGAGGGGGTGAATTGTATCTTCTTTTTACATAGTCCATGAAGAAAAAAGAACTTGTACAGACTAGTAGTTGGTGGCTTGTGCAATGTCCTAATATATACCATTTAATTTAATTTGGAAAGTCTGATTACTTTATTCATTTTCATATATTTAAATACTTTTCCATGTTGTCGAAGTAATTTTTTGTGGTTCAAGAGGATTAAGATTATGTAGGATTCCACATAAGTTATTTACTCTCATTTAACCATGTAATGATCTCATAACTTCAAACTCTTCTTTTTTATATATTGCCTCTTTATGTATTTCATCTAGGAAAAGTTTTCTTTTAAAACTAATTTATGGGTTTATCATTGCAGGTACCACTGACTTTCAGAGATGTTGCCATAGACTTCTCTCAGGAGGAGTGGGAATGTCTAAACTCAGATCAGAGGGATTTATACAGAGATGTGATGGTGGAGAATTATATCAACTTGGTCTCTTTGGGTAAGAATTTGCTCTCTGGAGTATCAGCTTTCTCTACTATATATTGATTATTGTATATATTATATGCCAGGAAACCAGCTAAATTTCTGCTCCATGTTCTCAAAATATTGATTTGAAATTTGTTATTTAGAAACAGGAACCTCCATTTTGTGCCTGAACCTTCCCTATTCACATGCCTTCCTGCCTTCCTCTGCCCTATCCTGTAATTGAATTTTTTCTAAATGAATTTCATATTATGTGTGTGCTCTGAATGTTTGTAAATATTCTGTTGTAATTGCTGATCCTTCAACACAGAGAACAGATATTATAGGATCTTGGTTTTTTTCTTTACTACAAAAGAGCCTCTGATTTTCATTGTAGAAGAATGACTCAAGATCATTTTCTTTCTGTTATTTTTTGTTGTTAGAGCAGTGGGAATATTGACTTGCAGCAATCTGATAGATTCTACCCAGAGGTAGAAGTCTTTGTCCTGATTTTGGAAAATACTTGGCCATCCTCTCCTCTCCTCTAGAAATGTTACTATACCCATGCTAGACCTTTAGAACAGATCTTGCAATTCTATCACTGCCTTCTTTTGCTCTTCCATTTTTCTCTGTGCTGGAGTTTGAGTATTTTCTGTTGACTTGTATTCTAGCTTCCTTATTTTGTCTTCTATTGAGATGAGTCTGCTCTTAAAAGAGTATATATATTTTTTTGTATCAGATACTGTCTTTTTCAGTTTAGAAATTCAGTTTTATTTTTATATTTTCCATTTATCTGTTGAATTCCTTCCTTGTTTTATTGAGGGCTTTTTTTTTTTGATTCCAGGGATTGAACCCAGGGGAGCTAAGCACTGAGCCAGATCCCCAGCCCTTTTTAATTTGATTTAATTTTTATTTTGAGACAGGGTCTGAGTTGCTTAGGGCCTCGCTAAATTGCTGAGGCTGGCCTTGAACTTATGATCCTCCTTCCTTAGCCTCCTGAGTTGCTGTGATTTGGGGCATGTGCCATCATGCCAGGCAAAAATATGATATTTTGAAAAACAAAAATTTTGACAAATCAGTGAAATCATTATTAGTAGATTTCAATCTATAAGAATCACTCAAGGAAAAAATAAAAAGAAAACCTCAAAAGTATCACAGTTCTAAAGAATCTGAATCAATCATCTATATATTCTCACAAATTAGAAAATTTAGGCCGGAGTGTCATAAAAGTCCTGAAATGTAGAGCCCCTGTGGGTGATGGGACACTCCCAGGTAATGGAGATAAGGCAGAGCCTTTTATTATCATTATATTTTGGTTTCATTCTAAAATCAAGATAAATCATGTGGAAAAGTGATATAGAGAAATATCTGGTAAATGGTGTTAGAAATGCAGATGAACAGCTCTACTTCTATACATTCTGATTGACTTGTCTAGTAGATACCTAAAAGGTAGTGTATGCCTTAGTAATTCTGGTTCATAACTAAATATGAGAACTACTGACTTTCTGTTTGCCTTCTCATTCCTTACATCCTAATGTGAACTTTTATAACTTTCCAAGCCCTTTTTTTTTTTTTTTTTTGGTACCAGGGTTTTAACGCAGTGGTGCTTAACCACTGAACCACACCCCCAGCCCTTTTTTGTATTTTATTTAGAGACAGGGTGTCACTAAGTTGCTGAAGCTGGCTTTGAACTCATGATCCTCCTGCTCAGCCTCCCAAGCAGCTGGAATTAGAGGCATGTGCCACTACACCCAGCTTCCAAGCCCTTCTTGCCTTTTAAAAATATCATGGCTGTATTTTAGAATTTCCTTATCCTTTTGTTGTTGTTGTTGTTATTGTTGTTTTAAATATTTCTTTATTTTAGTTGTACACAATGCCTTTATTTTTATTTATTTATTTTTATGTGGTGTTGAGAATCAAACCCAGGGCCTTGCATGCACCAGGTGAGCACTCTACCACTGAGCCACAACCCCAGCCCCATCCTTTGTTTCTAAAGGACAATCTTTTCAGGTTTGTTTTGTTTTGGTACTGGGGATTGAACTCATGGGCACTCAACTACTGAGCCTCATCCCCAGCCCTTATTTTGTGTTTTATTTAGAGACAGGGTCTCACTGAGTTGCTTAGAGCCTCACATTTGCCAAGGCTGGCTTTGAACTCATAATCCTTCTGCCTCAGCCTCCTAAACCACAGCATACCAGCAACTTTTTGGTTTTTGTTGTTAATATAAAAAGCCCCTCCCTGTCCTTCCCCATAGGAAAAATGGCATTTGTTTTTCTCATTTTCTTTCAGACTTTGATTTCTCAACTGAGACCAACAAGCTGTCTTCAGAAAAAAACATTTGTGAAATAAATTCACACCATAAGGAGACATTGAAAAGAAATAAAACCTTCAACCTGATGGGGTTTATTTTCAGTAATGAGCCACCATGGAGAACTGAATTTGGGAGACAGCAGGGAACTAAAGTGGAATGTCAAATGATAATCAGAAAACTTGTATCCCTTCCTTTCCTCCAGAGAACTCACGCTGTAAACAAATCATACAAATGTCAGAAATGCAGGAAATGCTTTAGAAAATCTTCACAACTTACTGAACATCTGAGAGAACATACTGGGGCGAGTGCCTACGTGTGTAAGGAATGTGGAAAGGCCTTTGTAATTCTCCGGAATTTTATTAAACATCAAAAATTTCACACTAATCCTAAACCCTATGAATGTAATAGATGTGAGAAGGCATTTAGGTTTTCTTCAGAGCTGATCCGACATCAGATGATTCATACTAGTGTGAAGCCCTATGAATGCGTGCGGTGTGGAAAGGCTTTTAAACGTCAGTCTCACCTTGTTGAACATCAGAGAATTCATATTGGTTTGAAACCCTATGAATGTAAGGATTGTGGAGAGAGTTTTAGGTTGTACCGACATATGTGTCTGCATCAGAAAAGTCATCATGGTGTGAAGTCCTATATCTGCACAGAATGTGGGAAGGCCTTTGGTCGTTGTTCGGGTCTTATCCAACATAGGAAAATTCATTCTGGTGAGAAACCATATAAATGTAAACAATGTGGAAAGGCCTTTATTCGCAACTATCTACTGATTGAACATCAAAGAAGCCACACTGGTGAGAAACCTCATGAATGTATGGAATGTGGAAAGGCCTTTAGCAGGGGCTCTAGCCTACGGAACCATAAAAGAATTCACAGTGGAAAGAACCTCTATGATTGTACAGAGTGTGGGAAGGCCTTTAAGAGGGTATCAAGCCTTCGTAACCACAAAAGAATCCATAGTGGTAAGAACTTCTATGATTGTAAGGAGTGTGGGAAGACCTTTAGCAGGGGCTCAAGTCTTCATAACCATAAAAGAATTCATAGTGGTGAGAACCTTTATGATTGTAAAGAGTGTGGGAAGACCTTTGGTCGTCGCAATCTACTTACTCAACATCAGAGTTTTCACAGAAGTGAGAAAAGAGGAAAGCCTTGAGCCATAGCACAACCTTTATTGTTATCACTGTTCCACCTCCCGATGATATCATCATGGTGAAGATAACACTAGTTATGAAATAAAAATCCTTGGAAGGATTTCTGGCACCTTAGTATTTACTTACTAAATATTTTATGTCCATGATTAATATTATTAAAAATAAATTCATGAGTAAGAAAGATACCAGAGTATGATATTTTAAAAAACTTTCTATCATTTCACCTCATTCATTCTGGAAAAAATCCTTGAGAATGTGTTATATAAGAAATCTTATTTTGAATTTATCCACTTAAAGAATGCCCAAAGGAATATCCTGTCTTTATTAAATCTTGAGAGTATAACTGGTGAAAAATCAGAGGGTGATTTGAAGAAATTTTTTTGTAATAAATTCTGTAGCAGATAAAATGCAAGTCATATTGCTACAATATGAAGAAATAAAAAATGAACAGTTGGGTGACCAAAAAACACATATTGAGTTGGAAAAGTTTTCTCCAATTTTATGCAAGTTTCAGACTTAAATATTTAAAGAAGAGGTAGCTTTTCAGTGGGGATGAAGGCTTGTTTACTCTCCACCTAGTGGCAGTATACCTGATATGTCTTTCATATGTATTTACATGTGTGTATATACACACATGAATCCATATGGATGTGCATGTCTCTTGTTTGTATTCATAGGCATATGTGTAGTCAGGTTTTTGTCACTGTGACCAAAATACCTGACAAGGAAAAGAAAAGTTTATTCTGACTCAAGGTTCAGAGGTTTGGTCTGCAGTGGGCTAACGCCATTGCTGTAAGCCCAAGGTAAAGCAAAAACATGGCAGAAGGCATGGTGGAGGAGTCCTGCTCATTCATCATGACCGGGAAGCAGAGAGGAGAGTAGGCCACAGGGAAGGCAGCCCTTCCAGGGCACACCCCCACTGACCCACTTCCTCTAACTGTATCCCTCCTGCCTACAGTTACCACCCATTTAGTCCATTCAAACTAGGATGGACTGGTTAGGTTATAGCTCTCATAATTATCTCTGATTGTTCTACATTAACACAGGAGCTTTGGGGAGGGGGTCACCCCCTATGTAAACCATAACAACATACATATCCTATTCTGTATATTACACATATTGTTTTGCTGTTTTTTAAGTGAATGTTTTGGGTATCACTTCACCTCTAAAAAGATGACATATGGAGTTGGGAGTGTAATCAGTGGAAGAGCTTGCCTAGTATGTGTGAGACCCAGGATAGGAGGCTCAGCACTGCACAACAAAGCAAAACACCAACATACAAGTCCTAGGATTCTAGATAATTTGCTGTCTGACCACTAAACTGTTGACACCTAAAAGAATTAACAGTAACTCCATAATGTCCTGTAATGAAGTAGGACAGAAGAGGCTGGGTACCAGAGGTACTTTCAGGAAGCAGGTTTATTGACTGCAGGGTTCACAGGTGGCTCACTCCCAAGAATTCTTCTGAGCAAGAATTTTGGAAATTCTTTGAACTTTATACTGGGGGAGGGGCAGGGGAGCTTGGAGATTAACATGACAAGTGCTCTCTGTTCCATCCCCTAGACCAGGCACAGGTTTCACAAGTTTTTTTTCTGCAAACCTGGCAGAAAGAAAGGAGGAAACTGGATTACCTACCAAACACAATGTGTAAAATTTAATTTCAAATGGATCAAAGATCTAAATGTAAGAACTAAAATTACAAAACTCTTAGAAGGAAACATGGAAAGCTTCATTACATTGGATTTGACATTGATTTCTTGGCATGTCACAAAATGAGACAACAAAAGAAAAAATATATTTCATCAAAATTTAAAACCTGTATAACAAAAAAATATGATAAACATAGTGAAAAGGCAAACTAAATGATAGAAGCAATATTTGAAATTTTTATATCTGACAAGGAGTTAATATCCAAAATATGTAAAGAACTCTTACAGCTCAACAATAATAACAAAAATCTCTCAAAAAAAATCCAGCAAATAGGGGCTGGTGCTGGGGCTGAGTAGTAGAGCACTCGCCTAGCATGTGCGAGGCCCTGGGTTCAATCCTCAGCACCACATAAAAATAAGTAAAATAAAGGCACCGTATCCAGCCACAACTAAAAAATAAATATTTTTTTAAAAATCCAGCATTGGATTTCTCCAAAGAAGTTATACAGGTGACCAATGAGCACACTGAAAAAGTGCTCAAAATCAATCATTAAGGAAATACAAATGAAAAACAGTGAGCTGGCTCTGTGCTGGCACACACCTGTAATCCCAGAAGGCTTGAGGCCAACCTTAGCAACTTAGTGAAATCCTATCTCAAAAAAAAATTTTTTAAAGAGTGGGGATGTCACTTAGTGGTAGAGTGTCCCTGGATTCAATCCCCAGTACTGGGGGGAAAAAAATAATATAGAGTAGGATGGTTATTTCTTAAAAATACAAAAGGAATACAACAAATATTGGAGGTGATATGGAAAAATTGCAACCGTTACATATTGCTGGTGCATAACTAAAAAGATGCAGTTCCTGTAGAAAATAATAATTGGTTCCTCAGAAATGTAAACATAGAATTACCTTATGATCCATCAATTCTGCTTTTACATACATACCAAAAAGTATTGGAATTGGGCTGTGTGCAGTGGCTCACGCCTGTAATCCCAGCAACTTGGAAAACTAAGGTAGAAGGATCGAAAGTTCAGAGCCAGCCTCAGTAATCTAGTGAGATCCTAAGCAAATTAGTGAGACCCTGTCTCTAAATAAATAAAAAGGGTTGAGGGGGCTGGGGTTGTAGCTCAGAGGTAGAGCATTGCCTTGCATGTGCGAGGCCCTGGGTTTGATCCTCAGCACCACATATAAATAAATAAGTATAAAGGTATTGTGTCCAACTACAACTAAAAAGTAAATATTAAAAATAAATAAATAAAACAAAGATGTTGTGTCTTTGTTTTATTTATTTATTTTTATGTGGTGCTGAGGATCAAACCCAGGGCCTCACAGGTGCTAGGCAAGCACACTCTACCACTGAGCCACAACTCCAGCGCCTGTAAGAAACATTTTTATTCACAAAAAAAAAAAAAAAAACATTAGCAGAAGGCAACCATTTTGAAAGCATGAGGATGCCATTCTATCAAAGCTAACATCTAGACTTGGTGGCTGAAATTTCTAACTTTAAAGCCTTATTTTGGTTATGAACGCTCCTGCATTCAATCCCCTGTATAAAATAAATAAAACAATTTTTTAAAAGAATTGGAATTAGATAATTGTACACAATGTTTATAGCAGCATTAAATAACCCAAGTACCTATAAGTGAGTGGATAAACAAAATATGGTATGTACATACAACAGAATGTTATTTGGCCGTTTAAAAATGAACAAAATTTGATATATGGTATAACATAGATAAACCATGAAAACACTATGCTCAGTGAAGTAACCCAGACACAAATTGATAAATACTGTATGACTCCACTAATATGAGCTATCTAGAAAAATCAAATATTTACTCAGAAAGAATAACAGGAGATTGAGGTAGAGGAGAGGGTGAGAGGGGATTATTAATAGTTTCAATTTGGGATGATAAGAAAGTTCTGGCATGGACAGTATTGGTGGCTGCACAACAATGTGAATATTTAGTGTCGATTATATACTTAAAATGGTTGGAATGGTAAATATTATGTTACATGTTCTATCTCAACAAAAATAACGAAGGAATTATGCAGTGCCAAAGTATAAAAACAAATGAAAAATGATTTTAATCTTTAAAGTGAGTACCTGACATCCAAATAGAAATCATAAATAACTGACAAATTTATCTGAGAATATATGTAGATGGATACACAACTGTGAAAATAATGAGCAAAGGATGTAGGTGGAAATTTAAGAAAAAATTATGAAGGTGAACATGAAAACATACCTGAGCTTATAACTAATAAATGAGAATGTTATAAAAAAAATGGATGTGGTGGTGCATGCCTCTAATCCCAGAGATGAAGGAGGCTGAGGCAGGAGGATCTCAGACAAGTCTCAGTCTTCACAATCATGTGAGCCAATTATATCACATTATTTTCTGTTTATTGGGAGAACCCAGACTGATATAAGAGGAAAAGAAGGAAATGGTCATACAGGCCTCCACATGCCACAGTGTATATGCTGTCTGCTCTAAGTGGCCCACAGGAACTGCCTGAGTGGACTTGGAAGAGAGGTTTCATTCAAAATGATCAGAACTAACTTTTTCCACAGAGACATGAGGTACCTACCCAGAAAAAATACTCCAGTACCTCTGAGCTCTCAGTTCCTCTCAGTCTAAGCCTTTTCTCAGGAATTCTTTTCTGCTCTTTGCCTTACATGTTAATTCTTATTCTGCAAATTTCAGCTTAATTTTTCATTTCCCTTGCTTATTTAAACCATGATTACCCATCTCAAAACAGGCTTTCCTTTTTCATGTGATCATTTTCCACAATGTTTGATTTTTAGTTTTATTTATACTTGGATTATTCTATTCCGTATCTGTCAAATAAAATATCCATTACAACAAGAATTTTTTACTCTGGTTATCTTCTATACCAGGAGTTAGAAATGTAAGACCCATGGTACCAAACTCGGCCCACTTCCTGTTTTTTAATGCTTCGGACAATAACTTAAGAATAAGAATAGTTTCGCCTCCTAAATGGTTGAAAAAAATCAAAAGACAAATGACATATTGAGACAGTTGGAAATTACGAGATTCAAATGTCTTTACCCATAAAGTCTCACTGAAACACAGCCATTCTCTCTCATTTATATATTATCTATGGCTTCTTTCATGCTGTAACCACAGAGTTGTGTACTCACAACAGAGACATTATGGCCCCAAATTAAAATATACTCCTACTGTATACTCAATTCTCAAAACAATTCCTGGCAGATGATAGAATCTATTGGTCCATGTTGTATCACTTAGACATCAGGTGTTTACTTCAAGAGCTGGGCTTTTTCTTAAATTAATCACTTTCTCCTAGCAAATGGGAAAGCAGAGGTCCCATGAAGCTAAGAGCAAAAGACAGCCCTGGTTGGTGAAGGTCAGGTTTGCCTCATCTGATCAGACAGTGAGTCCAGAATGAAGGGTGGAGGTGAGCAGATTTTTAATTTCTTTCTTTCTTTTTTCTTTTTTTCGAGACAAGGTTTGACTGAGTTGCTTAGGTCCTCACTAAGTTGCTAAGTCTGACTTTGAACTTGCTACAAACCAAAAAACTCTCTGGAGCTCAATGACCTTCTAAAAACTTGTTATATGATTTAAGGTACTTTCTCATTGCTGTATCACTGATATTTTAATTTCTACTGAGTGTATCCTAACTAACTCAAACAAATAGGGTCGTAGTTCATACTGGGAGACAGAGATGGAAATATAAGGCTGATTCTACCACAGCAATCCAAACCAATTCACTAATAGGAGATGAAAACACACACACAACCTAAATGTTAAGTGTTGTTCTACAGATTTTACAGATGTTGCATGATACTAGATAATGCTAGAGCAAAGAATGGAGAAAGATTGCAAGAATAGTAGAATATCCAATGAAAAAATCAGAAAAATACAAATTTAAACCAGTTTTCACTATGAGATTCCACTATATATTCCAACCAGAATATATAGCAAAAAAATGTATATATATTTTCTTTAAATTGATGATGTCAAGTACTCACCAGATGTGACAAAAGAAGAATATTCACACAGTGCTGGTCACAGTGTGTCAGTCAGCACATTTGTTTGGAAATCTGTTTAGAAGGATTTAAATTTTAGTAGGATTCAGCTATTAAAGTTCAACACAAGGATATTCACAACCCAATCCCAGAAATTCCACTCCCAATCTTCATAGCAAGAAATGTTTCCTTGGGCTGGAGTTGTGGCTCAGTGGTAGATCACTTGCCTAGGATGCATGAGGCACTGGGCTCAATTCTCAACACCACATATAAATAAATGAACAAAATAAAGGTCTCTCGACATCTAAAATATATATATAAAAATGTTTCTTTATGTGCTCCAAAGAACACATGCAAGGGTGATCATAACAGATCCATAAGGAGCTCTGACTTCCCAATCTAGTATTCTCAAGATCATATAATGAAGGATTTTCCATGAGAGGCCACCACATCAGGATGCTTCTTTTGTGTGGGTCTTAGCTGGTACTACATCTCTAGGAAGCCTCCGACAAGGAACTGTGTTGGATACTCAAAAAAAAAAAGGCAACAAATGAAACTAGACAAGAGATTAAGACTCTCTTTTTCAAAGGAAAACAACCTAATGATCATATAATTTAAAGAACAGGTAACTGCAATTCCAAACTAAACAAAAAAAAAAGGCAACAAAAATGAAAACCATTAATGCAACCTCACTTGTGAGATACAAAATCCTAAATAAAATAGAAGCAAATGAAATCAAGTAATGCATCAGAATAATATACAATGACTAATCTGGGTATATGCAGGAATGAGGAAAGAGTTAAATAATGTCATTATAACTTATCAGATTAACAAATATTACACAAGTGTAGGAAGAGATGAAATGGCTTTTGATAAAACTCAGGAGCCAATCCTACCTAGATGTAAGAAACATTTCTTTTTAAGTATTTTTTAGTTGTAATTGGACACAATACCTTTGTTTTATTTATTTTTATGTGGTGCTGAGGATTGAACCCAGGGCCTCACACATGCTAGGCCAGCACTCTACTGCTGAGCCACAACCCCAGCCCCTGTAAGAAACATTTTTATTCACAAATAAGAGAAAACATTAGCAGAAGGCAGCCATTTTGAAAGCATGAGGATGCCAGTCCATCAAAGCTAACATCTAGACTTGGTGGCTAAAATTTCTAACTTTAAGAGCCTATTTTGGTTATGATAACATTTCCTGATGTAGTTAATCAGTATTTCCATGGTCAAGTTTGGTATACACTAGTTTAAACAAACTTGAGGGGCTGGGGATGTAGCTCAAGTTGTAGCGTGCTCGCCTGGCATGCGTGAGGCACTGGGTTCGATTCTCAGCACCACATAAAAATAAAACAAAGATATTGTGTCCACCTAAAAACTAAAAAAAAACAAAAGAAGAAAGAAAACTTGAACAATTTTCTTCACCAGAATACTCGCCAGTTCTTTTTAAATTTTTCCTTAAGAGTTTTTGTAGATGCTACCATTCTTGAGACATCCTTTCGGTGCCATAATAAGACACCATCTCCACATTTTCTGGTTAACATACAAATATGTACCTTGGGGATGGCGTGGGTGGGGATAGACTACTAACTGGTCGGGAAGGATGGATCCTATTATAACACTCAAGTTTTTACTTTGTGTCAAACGTAATGATTGAAATTGCAGATGTGTAGAATACTAGGTGGTGAATGAACAAGTGATACCCTTCCTACAGTTTTAATTCAAAGAGTTTCTCATTTGGATGAAGTTTCTGATGTATTCTATAATATTAACCATGTCTGTATGCCTTCCCACATTCCTTACAGTATATTTCATAGCAGTATGAATTCTCTGAAAGCAAGAACTGAATTAAATTCAGATCCTTCCCAGATTCCTTACCATTTTAAAGTATTTCTAACATGTTTGTGGGTTTTTTTTTTTTTTGTACCTGGAATTGAACTCAGGGGCACTTGACCACTGAGCCACATCCCCATATTTTGTATTTAGAGACAGGGTCTCACTGAGAGGCTTGCTTTTGCTGAGGCTGACTTTGAACTTGTGATCCTTCTGCCTCAGCCTCCCAAGCCACTAGGATTACAGGCATGCGCCACCTCATCCGGCTTCTAACTTGTTTAACTCTGATGTTGACTAGACTTTGTGCCATGAATAAAGATCTTCACATCATACATGGAAATGGTTTCACATCAGTATAAATTGATGTTCATTAAGATCACACAAAAATCTAAATGTCTTCTCATATTCTTTATATTCAAAATATTTCTCACTAGTATGTATCTGCTGATGACAAGTAAACTGTCTATACACAAAAAAGGAAAAGCTTTTACATATTCCTTACATTCACAGAGCTTCTTTTTCTTTTTTTCTGCTATATCATTCAAAAAATTGAATGAACCCAGGGGTGCTCTACCACTGAGCTACAACCCCAGTCCTTTTTATTTTTCAGTTTGAGGTAGGGTCTTACCAAAGTACCCAGGCTGGCCTTCAATTTGAGTTCCTCCTGCCTCAGCCTCCTGAGTAGTTGGGATTACAGGCATGTGCCACCATTGCCTGGCATACATTCATATGGTTTCTTTAGAATAAGCTTTCTGCTCATGTTAAGCTGTCCAGTATGAAATATCTGATGTTGAGTAAGCTGATATCTGCTACCAAAGGCTTTCCCACATTCTCTACATACATAGGATTTCTCACCAGTATGGACCTCTCATGTTTAACAAGACTTGAACATGTTTAACAAGTTCTCTCATATCTTTTCAATTACAAGGTTTCTCCAGTATCAATTTTCTTGTCTGAGTGAGTTGTCCATATAAAGGCCTCTCCACATCTTTATATCTACAGGGTTTGTTGTTACCATGAGTTCTCTCAAGTTGATCCAAGTTTGCGCTATGAGTAAAGGTCTCCCCAAATTCCTCATCTTGATAAAGTTTCTCACCGGAATGAAATTGTTCATGAACATGAAGTTGATAGCCACTACCAAAGGCTTTCCCATATTTTTTACATTCATAGGATTTCTCACCAGTATGGACTCTCTCATGTTTAACAAGACTTGAACCCCAGCTAAAGGCCTTTCCACATTCCTTACATTCAAAAGGTTTCTCACCAGTATGGATCCTCTGATGTTGAGTAAGATGATAGCCACGACTGAAGGCTTTCCCACATTCTTTGCACTGATAAGGCTTCTCACCAGTATGAATTCTCTCATGTTGAACAAGACTTGATCCACAGTTAAAGGTCTTCCCACATTCCTTACAGTGGTAGGGCTTCTTGCCAGTATGAAATATCTGGTGTTGAGTAAGCCGATACCTGCTACCAAAGGCTTTCCCACATTCTCTACATACATAGGATTTCTCACCAGTATGGACTCTCTCATGTTTAACAAGACTTGAACCCCAACTAAAGGCCTTTCCACATTCCTTACATTTGAAAGGTTTCTCACCAGTATGGATCTTCTGATGTTGAGTAAGACGATAACCACGACTGAAGGCTTTCCCACATTCTTTGCACTGATAAGGCTTCTCACCTGTATGGATTCTCTCATGTTGAACAAGACTTGATCCACAATTAAAGGTCTTCCCACATTCCTTACATTGGTAGGGTTTCTTACCAGTGTGAAATATTTGATGTCGAGTGAGCTGATAACCCCAACAAAAAGCCTTTCCACAAACCTTGCATTCATAAGGTTTCTTACCAGTATGGATTTTCTGATGCTGAGTTAGTTGATAGCCACGGCTGAAGGCCTTCCCACATTCTTTACATTTATAAGGTTTCTCACCTGTATGAATTATCTCATGTTTAGCAAGGCTTGAACCCCAAAAAAACGCTTTCCCACACTCCTTACATTCATAAGACTTCACACCAATATGAATTTTCTGATGTTGAGTAAGGTGATAGCCACGACTGAAGGCTTTCCCACATTCTTTACATTCATAGGGCTTCTCCCCAGTATGGATTCTCTCATGTTTAACAAGGCTGGATCCCCAACTGAAGGTCTTGCCACATTCTTTACATTCATAGGGTTTCTCACCAGTATGAAATCTCTGATGCACACTCAGTTGATAAGCACTAAAAAAGTTTTCCCCGCATTTTTTACATTCAAAAAGTTTTTCAGTTATATGAGTTCTCTCATGTTGAACGAGTTTTGAGCCATAATTACAAGTTTTTCCACATTCCTTACAAACACATGGTTTCTCTCTATCATGAATTCTTTCCTGTTGAATAAGAGATTTATTTTTTCTGTATGTGGGTATTTTTTCATAGCTGATAATCATTTGACTTAAGTATCCCTCTTGATGTTTCTGTAGTCCTTCAAATTTGTTTTTGCACTTCCAATTATTTCTGAAAATGGATGCCTCAAGGCCCAGGGTTTTACTTTCTTCCTTTGTATCCCAGCGGGAAAATTTTATTTCAAAAATGTCCTTTTTTGAAAATATACTTTTGGTCTCATATGTTGAGTCCAAATCTGAAAGGAAAAAAAACACATTTCCTTATTTCCTTTACCAGAAAAACAAAAACTTCTATAGTGCAGAAGGGAGTTTGGGAGGGATTTAAGATAATACTTACCATAAGTAAACTGGATTAGGAGACTTACTGAACTTACTCCTGAGCATCAAAGTTATCCCCTTTTAAACAAATTACTTTTAATTTTCAGCTCTTGTGATCTTAATGATCTGATAGTTTGGGGGAGAATTCAGAGATCACATTGAGAAGCCATGCAGATAGTCTCTTAAACCAAAATGTGAGCTTCCATCAGTCAAGCCCTTATGTTCCTGGGTGTGGTTATCCAATGTCCCTTGCTAGGCATGAATCTTAATGGTGATCAAATTCTTACTATTAGGAACTTCAGCTGATTATGTTTGTATAACCTGGTCGATGTTTTCTGTAACATCTAGATTGTTTTGTTTTCCTTTTGTTTTCCTCTTGCCAAAATGTCCTGAAAGACTTTATTCACTCCAGAGTTTGTTGTCTGAATTTCCAAACCTGATATACTGTTTGATTATTTGTGTGGAATTTATTAGGAGATAAGGAATGATCTCTATTTTCTAATTGGCTTATGTGCATACTGGGTCATAGAGCCCAATGTAGCTGATTCACAGGAAATCATTGTGTCACTTTCTATACCTTATACTTCGCTTGAGTCATTGACTGGATTTTGGTGTCTGTAATTTTGTAAAGAATTCCACAGGTAATCAAAATTTGAGCCACACCCTATTCCATGGCAAGATTACAATCTAGTGATTTACCACACTGTTAGACTGCCCTGACCATATAGTTGGCAAAATGTTCTTCATTGGTCTTTTTTTTTTTTTTTTTTTGGTAGATGGACACAATACCATTTATTTATTTGTTTGTTTGTTTATTTTATTTATTTATTTTTATGTGGTGCTGAGGATCGAACCCAGGGCCTCGCACATGCTAGGCAAGTGCTCTACCACTGAGCCACAACCCCAGGCCTCTTCATCAGTCTTTACATCACTGGTATCTCCTCAAAGCATAGAAATAATGCCTTTGTATATGCTCTGATTTAAATGAAATATCTGCAAGCACAAAACGACAACTTTAGGGCATTCAGCATTTTATATGTATATGCACTATTTTTCTTAACTCCCAGGCATATCCAACAAAGTGGCAGCCTTTCATTCAGGATAATTTAGAACTACAGTAGCCATTTTTAGCAGATTTTAAATTTTAACATGCTTCTTCAATTCCATATAGCCTCTAGAATACAAAGGAGAAAATTTTTTAAATTTTTAAAATCTAAGGAGCTACATTTATAGAGACCAACAAGTGCTTAAATAAACTTTGAAAAATATAATTCAACAATTATTTTATTTTATTTATTTTTAATTTTAAAAATTTATTTATTGCCATTGCATCAATATTATTGATTTTCATTCTGCAAAACTGGGATTGTGAACCCTCAGGTAGGGCAATCATCAGAACCCAGTCATGATGGAAGGTGGGTGGGAAGACAATCCTCAGGTAATCTGGCTGGGATCCACTGGGACCCAACCAGTTCACCATCTCCTAGACACAAAAGATTTGGGCCTCAAGCTGAGCCCTTCTTTCTCCCCAGTGCACTAGAGTGTTCCCAGGGTTCACGTCTGCCCTTCCCAATCCCCTACTGTCGATATAATGGCCTTGGGGAAAAGCCAGATATAACAGGTGCTGTTGGCCTCTTCCTAGTCAGTCTGGTGGGAGGTGTCCACGCCTGTGCCTTTACATGCCGAGACTTTACCTATGTAGTCCCCAGTGGTGCCTGCAGCTGTGCAGATAACAGAGGAATGGCAGGGAGCACAGGGTAGCAGAAGGGACAGAGATGTGTCCTAGGCCCTCTTTTTGGACCAGGTGCTGGAGCCATGGCCCAACTTGAAACAATTTCTTAAGACAGAAAAAATTGACTCCCAGTGTTTAAAGTGCTATAGATCTTCAAGAAAATCTTTGGTGCTTGCTAGAGCTATATCTAAGGAAAAAGAGTTTGATTCCCAGTTAAAGTAATAGTTCTGTTTATAAGATAAAACGAAAAGCACTGCTATTAGGTTTACAAAGTTTGTAAAACAACTTCAAAAGTTTATGTGGTATGTAGATTTTTCTATATATGTTGTACTCATTAGATAAGTAGAGTTTGGCAGACTTTTTCTATAAAAGACCATACAGTCCCAACTACTCAACTCTACCCTCTTACCAAGAAAGCAGCCACAGATGTTATATAAACATAAATAGGCATGGCATACCCCAATTCCCCTTGAATTACAAAAACAGGTGGTTTGGGCTTCCAGGACCATTCTTTGCCAAACTCTGAGATGAAGCTAATGTTGTTTTCATAAATATTTACAATGACAAAAATGCATGCTCAATTAAATTTATGTTTATTTAAATTAAGCCAGATTTGCATGAAAGGATTGATTCTGATAATGTCAGATAATGCTGCAAATTATGCAAATCTACATATTTACTTTAATTAAATAATTTTAAAGCCAAGCCTGGTGGTACATGTTTTTTATTCCAGCAGCTCAGGAGGCTGAGGCCTAAATATGACAAGTTCAAAACCGACCTCATTAACTTAGCAAGGCCCTGGGTAACTTAGTGAGACCCTGTCTCAAACAACAAAAAGGGCTGGGATGTGGTTCAGTGGTTAAGCACCCCTGGGTTCACTCCCTGGCACCAAAAACAAACTAAATAAATAAATTAATTATAAGTTCTCTAACACACTCAGTGACAATGATCTTGACAGTAAATAATTTTTGGACATAATTATTTCCTAAGAAGCTATTCATAAAACAGAGCAAATACTTTTAAGTTGTAGTTCAGTTAAGTTTACTTATTTCTTAACTATTTTAAAACACATTTTCACTCAACTAAACTCAAACATCAACATCAATGGTGAAGATCAATGATGCCACACATCATCTTACAAAACACTAATATGCTAACTGTATTTTTAAAAATAGTTTTAGTTGTAGATGAACCCAATACTTTCATTTTATTTGTTTTTATTTTCACGTGGTGCTGAGGACCAAACCCAGTGCCTCACATGTTCGAGGCAAGCGCTCCACCACTGAGCCACAACCCCAGCCCCTGCCAACTGTATTTTAAGATGGAAAAGTAAGTACTGTCATTCAGCATGTTATGACAATATTAGTGTGGTTAAATGCATCAGAAATGCCATGTCATTATGTATGAAAAGAGTAACAAAAGCATGAAATGACACAAAAGAACTAAGAGCAAAATGAAAATGACCTTGGGATAAACTGTCCCTCTCTGTAAGAGGAAATTCCTGTTCTTTTCTTCAGTATATGTAGAAAATAAAAACTTAACTTTGCCACACCTCTGTGTATACTTTAGATTTCAAGACACTGATTTTCATGTTTTTGGCTACCTTCTACCACACATCTAAGCTAATTTTTGAACAGGATAGGACAGAATATTTTACTAGTCCAGACTGTGTCTCTGTTCAAAAAAGCTTTCCCTGAACATCTTATCAAAAGTATCCCCATTGCTTTCTATTCCTTTATACTGTTTACCTTTCCTGAATAACATGACTAATTACAGAATAGTATTTATTTAGTTGCTTACTTATTTGTGTTCCTGCCCCACTCACTATAAGGTAAATGGCATGAAAGTGGGTAAGTTCTCAATCCTGTTCATAACTGTATTGATAGCGTCCCATGCAATGCCTGGCTAAGAGTGGGTACTCAATACGATATTTGCATACTTTATAAATGAATACATATCTTCATTTCTCACTTAGACACACAACTAAATTCAACATACAGGTAAAATGGTTGCACCAGTATAAATAATAGAATACTTTCCTCATCGAAATAGGCAGGAAATATGAAAAGAAAACAAAAACAGGTAAATGGGATGAAGATGATATTCTAGGCTGGGGGTACAGCTAAGTGGAATAACACTTGCCCAGCAAATCTACATATTTACTTTAATTAAATAATTTTAAAGCCCATCTCTAACCCAGCATGTGCAAGGCCCTGGGTTCTGCAGTGGAAAGAGAAAAAAGAAGTGACATTCCTTTGGTAGCTCAAACTGAGATTTCTGTTTCATCCCAAGTCTCATGTCTTCACTCCATGGGTCTTGGTCCTTCACGGGGAACTTCCCAAGCCCCATCCCAGGTGCTCCTTCTTCTCTGTGACCTGAGAGGATGTTCCCTGCCTCTGCCCTGCCTTGCCTCTCCTGGGTGCCACCTGCTTGTCCTCCCTCTCACACCATCCAGGGCTCTTCCCTTTCTCTAATAAATGTAGTCATATCTGCCTTAGGAACGGAGTGTCTGCTTGCAAGAAAATAAATGCCTAATGGTGTAGACATTTTCTTAGCTCAAAAAATTTAGTGAAGTTTACAATATTGGTAAAATACAATACTGGTAAGTACTTCAGAGAAGAGAAAATGACCGTGTTTTAGACTCATTCAAGGCTCTGCCTCTAGAGAAAATAGACAGTGGTTGAGAACATATACCTTAGAACCAGACTTCCTAGGTTCAATTCCTGCCACTGACTTCTACCACCTCTGTGACCTTGGCAAGTCATTTCAAATGTATGTGCCTCTGTATTCTCAACCAAAAATGGGGACAGATGGTACCTGAAGCTGTTATAATGGTTAAATAATGTATTTATACTGCTTAGAACAGAGCCTGGTATATAGTAAAGCATAGTGCTATTAACATGATTATTGTTATTTTACTAAGAGGAAAACCAACACATCTCATGAGACATTTTTAGGATTTAACAAAATGTTCAACGCAAAGTTCATAGGTTTGAACTTTGAACTTCAAATCTTTTGTAAGTAATGTGTTTACTATTAAATGAATTCTATTCATTGAATCTGCCCCTAAATAAAGTGCAGAGGCTCTCAAAAGTCAGAGTATATCAGGTCTCTCTTTCTAGCTGTTTTCCTTGCATGTGGGTCAGAAAATAACCAAGAGCAGCACTTCACACCTGAATGTGTGAGGATAACTGGGCAGATCTCATGTAAAGGCAGATTCTGTTGGCAGGTCAGGGTTAGGACCTGACATGCTGCATTATGACCAGCACCAGAAGCTGATGCTATTTGCGTAGGAGTTCACAACAAAAAGATAAAACTTAATGCCCACCAACTAAACCATGACATCGAAGCACTCAGAAAACCATCTATAATTCTCACAAAAAACCAACACATCTCCCTATCATCTGGCTCCTACTGATCTCCCTTACGAATTTCTTGGTCCTCTCTCCTTCACTAACTTTGTTCTGGCTTTCTTATGGTTCCTTAAACAAAAGAACCACACTTTGAGGATCGAAGACCACATCTACAGAGAGTCTGGAAGTAAATACAGCATGTGACCTGGTTTCTCTGACTATGGTGTATGGAATGAATGTCCTCCAATGCAAACTAAGCCCCTTGGTCATTGAAGAAGAGAGGCAACTGCAGGGAAGGCCAGAGGAAGTTGTGAAGCTCACTTCGGGATGGGGGAAAATCAAGGTGCTTAATGAACCTATCTCTAACCCAACAAAGTATTGAAACATTCTTGGAATTCATCTGTGTTCTTTGAAGATAGCTCTATAATGTCCTGTGGAGAAAGGTGATATTGCAGAGAAGAGATTCTAAATTATTTCAGGCAGTTGACCTTACCCAGCGACACCCAGTTACTATAGTTCTCCAACATCACATCCATGTACAAGTCCCTCTGAGCCGGGTCCAGGTACTCCCACTCCTCCTGAGAGAAGTCGATGGCCACATCCCTGAATGTCACCAATTCCTAAAACCAAAACCCACGCATTACTTAGAAAATGAGGGTATAAAGAATAAACTGTGAAGAAAGGGAAAATATATCAATCAAGTAAGTCTGGAAGCCTTTGATAGAGCTAGGGAAAAATAAAAAAACCAGGGCAACCAAAGCAGAACGTCAATATTCTAGAATGATCCTCTTATAACAGGAAGAAAAAAACTTCCTGGATGCAGTAAAATAACTCAGCTATCTAAATCTATCTGGAAATATATAAATAATCACAGTTTCTCCTCTATTAAATAAAAAGTGTGTGTGTATACATGTACATACAACTTATAAATTCCTTATAAATGTGAAGTGCTAGCCATCTTTTCCTTTTAAGGAATATGAAAAAAAAATCACAAAATTTTTCAAGCATACTCACAAATGTACTTTAAATCTCTGTATTAGAAAAGTGATTTCCACTAAGTTAAGGATTATTGTCAAGTCTCAAGTAAATCATCCTGTTAGATTACATCTAAGATGTATGACTGAGCACACAGGAAATGTTGAATATTAGATTCAATAAATAAGACACTAACTGGAAAAGGGAGAGGCACTCAGGGCGGACACTGGGCTATTTAGCACCATCTTGACTGGTTGAGAAGTGGGTTCAGGGTTGGAGTTCTGTTAGGTAGAAAGCTTTAGGGTAACCAAGGGAAAAATTCATGTGACCAAAAAAATCAGAATATTTCAAGAAGAGAAAAATACCAACTTACATCAGTCATGGTTTTAGAATTGTGAGAGCTAATTAATGATCCATTGATTCCTCTATTGGTGAAGCACAGGATCCAGAAAAGCCACAACTGGGGAAGTAAAAAGAAGAGTTAGACCAGCTGTGCCTAAGTGAGCCGATCCTGACGTAAGCTGCCATAAGCTTTAATCTCCTTCATGACTACTTCTACTCCACATGCCACATGCTATTTATGGAACCTAAACTCTGGTCCCAAAGAGCCCCCAAGGCTCTTCAGCAGGAAGGTATCCGGCAGCACCGGGTTCTAGGGACGCTAATCTGGACCTGTGATTAGACTACTCAGTCCTGCCCAGAGCAGATCTTCCTGCCACCATTTCCACCCCTCCAGGCTGAGAAGGGGCCTCGTGAAACAAACTAGAACCTTCTTCATGGGCTCAGGACTAAAAAAAGTTAGTCAAGACTCAGGAGCTAGACAGTGAGGACAAGGAATTGTTCAAGAGCCAAAAAGTTGACTTTTTGATGCATACCAGAACATTCATGATATGAAACTGATAAATTTTCTAATCAAGATAGACTGTCAATAGAAAAAATAGGTTATAGGATATACAGTATGATTACATTTATACAATACAAACATATATCAATAGAGAAAGACAATAAATTGTCAATAAATGAAAACAATTTGGAAAGTTACACATCTATATATTAATAATGTTTTATAGTCATCATGAGATTCTTTTTGTTTAGATATTATGCTTAATTGTTGTAACCCTGGTCATGTACTGTATTAACTCCATGATTTACACATATACCCATGTTCTGCCTAGAAAAGTGGCTGAATTCTCCAAGCAATCTTTTTCATCTAATAAACTACGTCCTTCGATTAAAGAAAAAAAAAAAAGGTTTGACCTAGAGACAATGGGAGGTCAAATAAGGTTTGTTGTTGCTGTTTTTAACTAGGGCACTAACATGAAAAGATTTGCACTTTTTCGCAAAAATAGGTATGTTTAATCTGGCTTAAACATTGCACAATGTGTACATGTATTGAAACATCACATGGTTAATATGTCAATTATTAGGGTCTGTGGCTCAGCAGTAGAGCACTTGTTTAGCATGTGCAAGGCCCTGGGTTCAACCCTCAGCACCACATAAAGTAAAATAAACACATTATGTTTACCTACAACTAAAAAATAAATATATATATATATATTTTTTAAATATGTACAATTATTATATTTTACTGATGCATTATAATTACACATAATAGTGGGATTCATGATGCCACAGTATTCATGATACAGGCACATGACATAATTTGCTCAATCTCCCTCCCTAGTACCTTCCCTTCCCCACCTCTCCCTGACCCACTTGTTCTACTCCACTGATTATTGTTATTATTTTCATTAGTACATTATCACTATATATATATAAGCTGGATTCATTGCAATATATTTGTACATGGACATAGCATAATTTGATAGATTTAGTTCCCCAGTGCATCCCCACGCCCTCTCCTCCTCCCTCCCTCTCTATCCCCTATCTCTACTCTATTGGTCACCCTTCTCTTTGCACGAGATCCCCTTTTTTATTCCCACTCCCCACCCCATTCTCTAGCTTCCACATATGAGATAAATCATTCAATCTTTGATTTTCTGATCCCCAAGCAATGTTACAGATGTAATGATAAGATCTTGATCCCGTTTCCTTTTGTGTCTTCTTGACAGACCAGTTTATACATCTGAACCTATCTTAGATATGACAGTCTCTAGTAAATGCTAAATTAGTTGATCCTAGTAGATTCAATTTGCAGCTACCATTAGTAGACTAAAAATTTAAAAAGTATAAGACTTACAGAAAAATTCTGTTTGCCTCCATAAAGTTGGTTATGATCTAACAGTGTTACCTACAGTTACCTTCTGGTGAGTTCCTAAGGCAGATCACCTGTACTGCTATTGGCCTTTGTTGCTAGCTGTCTTACACTTATTCTAAGCATGTTATGCTCCCAAGTATTACTATCACAGGGTCTTGTATTGGGACAAATTTTTACCCACAATTCCACTTCTAGAAATGTAACTGTAAGAAATAGCCAATGAAGCACTCAAGATATATATATATATATACAAAGTCATTCAACCAAAAATAGTTTCAGAAACCCAAGAATTAGAAGCTATCTTAATAGTAGGCTGAAGGCTTAATAACTATGACCCCTTATACTCTCATTAGTTATGATAATACTGGCTAATATTAATTGATGAAGAAAGACATGCATGACCAATTCCTTATTGAGGTAGGCCACTTTGTAGCATAATGTTGGTCACATATGTATGTTGAAATGAAGATAAAGGGGGGAGGGGGGATAATAGGGGATAGGAAAGGTAGCAGAATACAACAATTACTAAT